ACTTGGGATAGAAAATTTTTACCATAGCAAACCTGAATTGACTTTATTTAAGTTCAGTGGGGCTATAGGAAACCTAGGTACCTCCACGAGATCGCTAAAAAAAGAGCATAGCATGATGAAAAAGACGCCAAACTTTACGAAAACAAAATTTTATCGTCTAAATGTTTGTTATTATTAAGAGGAAAGGTCAAAGTATTTGGGGGTATTTTTTTCCATTTTTTAATCATTCCTAGCACGTCCGAAATTTTCGTTAAAAATCTAGTTTTTTTTGAGTCAGCAAAATTGACCATTTTTTTTCCATTTTAAAAAAAAACTGGAAATCTGACTTTGAAATTTTTTAAATATCAATTATCATTTTTTCAAAACTTATTTTAAGAAAATCAGAAATTATAATGTTTATTTAAAATATTTTGAACCAAACTTAACTTAGCTTTTGTGCCAAAAAAGATGTAATTTGAAAATAAAACAAAGTAGGTCATAAACTTTCGCGTCTCTTGACATGTGATGAATGATATATTCTTAATTCCATGAGGCTAATTTGTTCTACGGAAGGGAAAAGTGAAATAATTTACATTTATGTGAACAAATTATTTACCCGTTATTTTTAACGAAAACTTTCAGCGGTCTAATTTTTTTTTTTTTTTTTTTTTTTGTACTTAGCTTTCACCTTTACGTTTATGATGCTTTATGGGAAATATATTGTAAAGAAATTAAAATAAAACTGTTAAGAGTGACATTAAATTTCATATTTCTTAAGAAAGGTATCTAATTAATTTATAGGTACCTTTCTTATGAAATTTTATCAGAATTGTACATAAAATACTATAATTTTATGTACATTTATTACATTCTACTGTTATTTGTATTTGCATTCATTTTATTATTAATTTTGATATTTCATTTATGGAAAAATGTCGTAACTGAGATTAATATAAAAATAAGATCATATAAATTTCATAAGATGATACTGATACTTGTAGGTACCCTTCTCAGTTGAAATTGAAAAATGAAATTAACTTCTCCACACGTGTTTCATAAAAGTAAAAGGCCTTAACAGCGGAGAACAATGCTTAACTCAAATAACGCAACTTAATTATATTCTGGTTGGTCTTCTGTATTTTTATAATTACAGCTCGATTATAAGCACAAAATTACATTTCTTAATTACTGGGGATCTTCTGATTAGTCAAAATGATACAATTTACAAACACGCTAAAAAAAAAAGATCTATCTCATAAGGACACTTTATCGACTTTTTAACTAATTTTATAATATTTTAACAACTTAAATGTAAAATCTATTATAATTAATGAAATAACAAATAATTGTATTAAAAATTCATTTTTCATCGAAAAAAATTTTTTTGCTTTCAGAAAATATTGTCCATATTCATAAAAACAACTAAAAGCAAATAAAAGCATTTGAAATTAAATAATATATTTGTTTTATTGAGTTTTGTATGTTACAATTCAGAGCTGATTTTCAGGTACTGCGTATCAATTAAAACAAAAAAAACATGATTTGCATTCCTCAAAGCCCTGTGCTTTTAATTATTGTAATCACTAAAACTGATGCGATCGAATTTCTAGCGTTTTCATAAAATTAGTTATGGGGGTAATAAATATTTAAAAAAATATTTCTACCATGACTTTCATAAAAAAAAACATATTTATAATAATTTCGATCATCTGTGAATAGTTTCTGAAAGTTTCATTAACATCCGATAATTATTTCTATTTTTGCACGATTTTTCAAATTAATGTGTGTCATACCAAAAAAACGTGCTAAAAATTGTCTATGTTATTTACTAGTTCGCTGATACAAATAGAAAAAAGGTTTTTTTAATCAAAATTTAGAATGTTCTAAAAAGAAGGAAAATTTTTTAAAAATAATTAAAAAAAAACTTTGGTCTTTCCTCTTAATAATAACATAAGCATTTAGACAATAAAATTTAGTTTTCGGCAAGTTTGGCATCTTTTTCATCAAGCTATGCTCTTTTTTTAGCGATTTCGTGGAGGTACCTAAGGAAACCTCAAACAGTCGTGTTTTCTGTGCATGTTTAGTACTGTTATTACTTGTCTTGTTTCTACTGAGATTGTGTATATCTGTACTATTCAGCCTAGGAACTAACAGTTACTATGCTGCTAAATTCACAAGCCAATACTTTAATATTCTAAAGGATTAATACAGATAAACTAGAGTGGCATAAGGACAAAACATTGTAATAGTAACAACAAAGATAAAGATATTGGTCCATCTCTAAATAATGATACAGATAGATTATTTTTTATAGAGAATTTAATCTTTCATTCATAATTGATGCTAGAATGGCATCAGGTTGAGGTCTTTGTCATGTGGAATTATATAGTTACATAATGAATTTACAGAAAATAATTTGTAAATATTGACCAATGAAATATGTGTAAAAGTGTTGCCCTCAAGTCCTTTCTTGGTCATCCAAGTGATAATACTTGTGCTGATCAATAAGGTGATCACTTTGATCCCAGCCTTGCCTTATCCCATGTTGTGATTTGTTTTGATCATAAGGTTGGCTAGGATCAAATAGTCATCAGGTATCTTCATATTAGGATGGTCTAAAGTGGAATGAAGATGCAAGAAAGAAAATTGAATAAAAAATAAATATTATTTTTATATATGGTTCTTTGTACAACAGTTGGTTAGTTTTTTTACAAAAAATCTAGCAGCTCACATACAGATGTTTATCGACCCAACCCGCTTCTTAAGTTAGAAGCTTTACAAACTTGGTAAAGTTTGTCACAAGGCTGATGTTGGGGGTTCCTTTTGGCAGGCAGTCATATGGGGTGTCTCTCATCTGGTGGCTGGAACAACCTCTCTGCTGTAGTATTTCAGTGTTCTGTTTTTATGGACCCATGCACAAAGGCTGGGGTGGGGTGTGAGGTGCTCTGAGTATGCCAGTGTTCCTCAAACAACCAATCAGGGCTCTCCCTGCAAATGTCCAAGTATGGGGGTAACTTGTCTTCCCTCCTTGGAATTTTACCTGGGCCTTCTCCCTGTTTTGATCACCTGTTCAAACCTGTCTCCTTCCTGCTTGATGTAAGTGTCTTGTCACCATCAATGCCCAAGTAGTGTGGAAAAGTCCTCTGCCTTCCTTAGAATTCCACCTAGGCCTTTTCCTCCTTTGTCACCTGACCAAACTCGTCCCCTAAAGGCTAGGTGTGGTCTAGCTCAAACGGCAAAATTTTAATTATCATTCAAAATTCTTTCTTATCATGCTTTTTGTGTGTGATCATTTCTGCATCTGGAATCAATCATTTTTTATCCCATCATCAACCTTTTTGCTTAACAAGTGGTAAAAATGGAATAATCCCTTGATTTTGGGAAGTTTTATCATGTTTCAGCAGACAAAAAATTTAATGTTCATTCCTTTATCTATTTTCTGCTGGAAACTTGTCTGCTTCTAAAAGGCAATACTCATCAATTGGCTGAAATTGCAGCTAGGGGTCTGCCCCTCCTCTCCTTCGGCTCACAATGGTTGTAAAATATTATCTATTTCTTTCTTGGATAATATTGGCACTCCAGGGTAGCTCATCACTTAATTTCAGTTCTTAATTGGAACCAGATGGTCTCTTTGTTTTACCTCTTCAGTGGATGAGAAATTTAATTACCTTCTAGTTTCCTTCTCTAACAAACAAATATCTCTTTTTTTTCATTTTCCTTTGTTGGGTCATTGGTATATCTTTCAGTCTATACAAATTTAGTGTTTTTCAGCCTTCTGTTTTTTTTTTTTTTTTCTCAATTAAAAACAGTTATCCCTTTCTTCCAATTTCCTTTGTCTGGTCATCAGTATATCCATTGTACTATTTGTCAGCCTTATCATTTACCACTGCTAAATAGTGTCACAAAAGGGTCTTTTTAGTGTTCCTGGTAAGTACTGGAAATGTTAGGACTTCAGAAGGGAATGAAAAATAAGTCCCAAACATTTTAAGTTTAATCTATTGGTTACATCTTTAAGTCGGAATTCAATAAGAATAAACAAGAATTTAAAGTACCACTGTCTAATAGCTGTTAAATTTTCATGAACATTTCATCATACACTAAACAAATTATTATAGCATAGCAGTTGGTTAGTTTTTTACAAAAAATCTAGCAGCTCGCATGCAGATGTTTATCGACCCAACCTGCTTCTTAAGTTAGACATGACACTTTACAAACTTGGTGAAGTTTGTCGCAAGGCTGATGTTGGGGGGTTCCTTTTGGCAGGCAGTCATATAGGTCTTTTTAGTTTACATATTGTTTTAACATTTTCATTCTATTTATGGTATATCATTTATCATTCAAAATGTCTATTACATTACTTTTTCATTTTTTCATTGTTTAATGATTTTGTAAGTTATAATAGAATGTTGTACATAATTTTCTTTAGACTAACCTATAATTTTTGTTGTTTTTCATAACGTTTCAACTCTGTACCATTCAGTCTTCCTCAGATATCCCTTGTTTCAGAATATTGTTCATTCCTATTTTGAGAGTTTGTGTGCATCTTCCTATACTTGATTTTTGTTTCCCTGGAATCATTTCTTTGCTGAACTTGAAACCATAAGATTCCAAGTTCATGGTCAACTAAATCAAGAAAAAATTTCATATAATAAATTCAGACAAGAACCACAGTCGAACGTATTGGATATTTTCATCCTTAGAAGAGGTTTAAATACATGTTTTTCTGTTAAAAACAAACATTCTTAGGCAATTAATATTTTAGTATTAAAAAAATTTCTCTCTTTCAGTACTAACATCAGTTTACCATTTATTGTTTGTTGTCGCTATATTATATTGTAGTTGTTTGAAAATCTCTTCTGAATAAGTTCATGTGTATAAGGTTTTGTATGTGCTTGTAATTATTTTGTATTTTGTCCTTTTAATAATTTTCTATTTTCTACACATTTTAATTTTTGTAATGTTATTCATAGCTTTGATTTATCCATTTTTTTTATTTATTTATTTATTTTTTTTTTTTCCAGTTGCTTGGGAACCATATTTTCAAAATGTCGTCGCAAGAAAGACCTTCGGCCACGGACTATTCATTTAGGAATGTCTCGTGGCCCTATGGAAAAATATCCAAAAAATGTTATCAGAAACCAGAAATATAGTATATTAACCTTTATACCAAAGGTAAGTTATTTTTTTTTCTTTTCTCATTATTTCTTGGGATCTTAATGTTAGAATTGCATGATTTTTGTTCTGATCTGATTTGGTTAAAAAAAAAAAAAAATTTACATTTTGAATTTTTTTTTTTTTTACTATGGTAATCTTGGACAGTTCTAATTGTTTCCAATTGTATGTATTTTGAATTGTAAATGCTGCTTTTATTTTTATAATTGACCACTCGGCTACAGAGTGTGTCAATGACCAAGCAAAGTCGAATATTGCCTTTACACACAAATTTTTCTTTGATTCTTGAAATAGACATATCTGTTCAGTTTTGTATTCTAATGTAAACAAAGTAATTTGTAAAGAAAGGGATGACTTTTTTATTAATCCAACAGATTTTTTTTATTTAAACATTATCTTTAGTGGATATTTGTATTTGAGTAGATGCTCTGTTTATTTATTAAACTGTATTGGCCTCAATATTCAAGAAATCTTATTAGAGAAAAAGGCACTATTCAACTTTGCTTGATGATTGATGCACTTTGTAGCTGAGAGGTCAAAGCATGTCAGATCTATGACTGTTCCCCTCCTAGAGGAGCGCAGGTTTGAATCTTGCGAAAGAGTGCATATTTTTGCTCTGCTAAATTTATGTGCTGTGTGTATTTCTCTTTGTGCAACCAACTCATGTCCTTGGTAGTTCCATTATGCTTCAGTCAGAGTAGCCAGAGAGCTTGCATTGACCTGCACCCCAAGCTCTGGTTCATCAATGCACCACTTACCTTGCACAGGGTCTTGGTGTACTTTTGCAATGACTTCTTTTATCATTGTAGTTAGAGCAGCATCATTCACCTTGTCCTAACTGGCTGTAACTGCTGCTGCTCTCCTCTAAGCTATCCACCCACTGAGGAGTGCCCAACCAGCTTTCTACACAGTGAGAACACATTACATCAGGTGAGAATGTGAGGCATGCTGGCAACTTTGTTTCCATTGGAGTGTATTGTACTCCGCACCTTCCCAGAATTGCAAACCAAGCACTTGTGCATCGTCCTGCAGTCATTCTGATTCCATGCTCATCAGCCTAAAGTTGACCAGATGTTGCTTCATGCTGGCTGCAGACATATTCTCTTGATGTAAATATCTTCAATGTACAAAATTGCTTGCTGAATAGTCTCATCCTTTAATAATACAGCATCCATAATGGCTCACATAATAGTGCCACATTGAATCCAAAGTCTGTGTTTGTCAAGCAGTATATTCTTCTCTCAATGATCACACTTTGGTATAGCCACAAGGAATGGTGCACACACACACCTGTGAGATTTTCAGAGATCAAGCACTGAAATATTAGGGCTCTTTTTTTTTTTTTTTTTTCGACACTTTCAGTTTTTATGTACAGATGTTAGTGCATGAGTTGTGTATGCATCAACAACAACAACATTTTGCCCCCCACCATTCAGTGTATGAAAGTCCAATGTGGAGTGCAGCTCAGTGTCTTATTTTGCTGCTGAAAGAGACTCTGTCATCAATGGAATCTCAGGCAGGGTTAGGGGACCAAGTTCCTTCTCAGGATAGGGAAGAATAAGCCATCTATTATCCAGTCACATCTGCAGCTCATGCTGGTATTTCTGCCAGATGTAAGATACCCTGTTTGTCAATTTATTGGGTGGTTGATCACCTGACCACAATCATGAGGCTGTCCACACACTTCTCCTTTCATCAAACTGAGTGCTGAAATCTGGTTCTATTTTTGATTGCAGCACAGACACAGGAGTTCATCTTTGAGTTAATGGCTTCACCGGACTTGTTGATGCTAACTCCGCCCAGCATTTTAATGACACCCATCCCAATGAGTAGACTGAATCCCATCAGCTGACTGTCATGACAAGGACATCAGCTTTCACAGGATCCATGTCATCTATTGCCAGCATGATGGTTCCAACACCACATCCATAGAGAACTTTGTCCTCAGCTGTTAGTATGTTCATCTTCAGTTGACTCCAGGGACTACATACTGATACACTCACAAGGGACCAACAACATCCAGAATCTACCAGTGCCATGTGCTTGATCACAGCAATCTGAACCTTAATTATGGGGAGTATCTCTTTAAAACTGCCAATATCTTACCCCTCAGTTTCCCAGAGACTTAGATGTGATATAACTTCTTTCATCATCTAAAGTGACATAACTTTGCTCACACTTTTCACATGGGACTACTGCACCCCTCTCCATGCTGATGTTGGCAATCTCTTGAAAAGTGGTTCAGTCTGGAACACTTGTAACATGTAACCATGACATGAGTGGCAGACTTACCAGGGGAAGTAGGGCTTGTACTGGCCGTAACTGGCTGTGCAGCGACTGGCTCTCCTTTCTCATCTGATATAATGGCCTGCACTCTAGATAGAAGTTGACCTGGAGGTGCTGCCTTATGTCAATTAGGAGTCTGGCTACAAAGGTGCGTGCCATCAATTTTTGAGGTGCCTATCCAATGAGCAGGGCAAACCTCCAAAGTTCAGGAACACATTCATTCTTTTACCACATAGCAATTGACTGCAAGGGCTCCACCTTTCAACAGTAGAGGGATAACACATTCTACTTCCAAAATGTCACAAACTAGCTCCACATTTTTGAGCTGTTCAATTATTGGGAGATTGATGACATGCTCCATGGAATTCTGGAATCAGCAGGATGTCAAACTGTTTGCTTACCATTCTCTTGGTGCTGAAATAGCATGATGGTTTTTCTTCTTATTGGTTGGGTATCTGCAATGAATAGGTGTCTCACAGCTTAGGATGGACAGAAAAATTAGCAGCATCAGAAACAAACATGAATAGAACTGAATATGGGATTAAGATGAACAGGACCATCACACATGAGGGATGAATGTAGCCAAGACACCGGAAACACAAGCAAAGATGAAGAAATTTTAGCTGACACTGGGTAACACATCTAATTTAACACTGACAGAAATTGTCATATTGCATGGCAGTCATGCCATATGCTCTGCATGGCCCACTGCCCCTTCTTACAAAATGTGCCAATACTGTCCTGATTATTTTGTGGAGAAGCTGGTAGATATCTTATTTCTTCATAGGCAAATGTTCCAGGGTTTTCACCAGCTCTGTTCTAGCTGGGCAGCCATTTTTTTTTTCTTTTTACAGAGACAGTGCACTAGACATCATTTCTTTGACTGACTGGAGTGGGTACTGTTATCAGTGGCGGTAGGCAGGTTGGTCTGCATATCGTTTCTGCTACAATCCATTTATTTTGTGAGCTGTTGCATTTTCTCATATGAAACAGACAGCACAGCATCCAAAATAGCATTTCAAAGTTTCTTTGCTGGTAAATTGCCATCCACCAATGTAAGCCCACTGCCTTCAGAATGTTCCGAAAGTTTTCAACCAGTCACCAAGAATTGTTAGTGAAAAGAACAGTTGAAAAATCAGTTGTCATATATTCTGTTTATTTCATTGTTTTCCCTTATAGGTATCCTTTTTAAAGGTTTTTGATCTGTCTGTTGTGACTATAAGAGCTATCCATTTTCGCTTTCTTTTTGTGAATGTTGAAATACTCATTACATATGAAAAGCAAATGTAGTATTTAATAGTTATATTTTTTGAATAAGGAAATTTAAATAATTGCCTATGTTTTTTCAGAGGCAGTTGTCAGATGCTATCCAAGATGTAAATTAACATTTTTTTTCTTTAAAAATATCCCCTTCTTAAATGCAAAAACTTGATTTAATAATTTTCAGCTTGTTATTGAGTAGCTTAGAACTATTATTGTATTAAACATGAACAACATTTAGAAAAAAAATTTTGCTGCAAAAGAGATAATCATTAAATCTTTCAACTCCCAAATCAGAGCTCATTGAATTTCTTTTCCAGTTAAAGGAAGGCAACTAAATGTTTGATGCCCTGTTTAAGAGAATCAGTTTTAGTTATGTGATAGCTTCTAGTTAATTTCTATCTGAGTTACTGGGATGAAGAGTTATCATTATTTACACTTCTGCTGCTAGTTTACATATATATTCTGCAACTTTCGGTTTTGTAATGTTATCATTTTACAGACTAATAACATATAAAATTATTTACTCCACTCTAGATTTTGTCAGTTAATATTGGTGACTGAGTGTATGGGATTTCTATGAATGTGGATTCTTCTTCTTGCAAGCATGTAAGACATACTTTGTCTTTTCCCCTCTGGAGCAGGTTCTATCATATCTTCTTGTCATCTGTTGTTTCATACGTGCACATTGTCAGTGCAGCTGGGTCAGTTACCTATTTATATGCTGGGAGCAGGCACTGGCATTCAGTGAAGGTGCAAATCTGCACGTAGACCCTAAGAGGTCATCTTTCATGTCAAATTCTGATGTACCTGGTTTATCTGATGCTGTGGTGGAAAGTCTATTTTGGTATCGACTGCAATTCTTTCAGTATAGGTGAAACTGCTGGTCTCTGACATTTAATTTTTTTCAAGGTAGGTGGTTAAAACCTTTTACTATTTGACCAAAGCTTCTTGCTTGTGTATTTTTATTAACAAAACATCTTTCCTAGTGTTACCGAAAATGCTGTGATAAAGATCATTTCTCCCTTATTTTTTTCTTGCTAAATGTGATCCATGATTGCTGTTTAGATTGAAAAAAAAAAACAAGTGCAACATCAGAATTTAATTGTTCAAGTGGTCGTCTTGAATGTACGTTTTCCTATAACGACCTCATAGTATAGGTTTCACTACTACCCAGACAGCACTCTCCAGCCTTGATAGTCCAAAATGGTCTCCAAGTCCTTGTGGTTGACAAATTATTTTCCACCCTCCTACCTCTCTCTCACAGGTGGGATGTGACAAGCCTCTAACTGCTTTATCGCTACTTTCATGGAAAGTGTTTGGATGGACTACAGGCGTGCCATTTCTAACATTCATAGTAAGGAGCTGCCTCTTACATTGTAGCAAACCACTCACATTCCCTCTATATTCTATCATTGATAAGTAAGTTCCACTCTAACAGCTTCTTTCTGCAAACCACTGCTTTGTGGAACTGACTCCCAAGAGGATGTTTCCCCAATCATTACATTCTTGACTTGTTCAAGTCTGGGGTTAGCTGTTATCTTCCCCTCCTATCTGTATAAACTGCCCCGTAATGTACGCCTCTACCTTCAGTCGGCCTTACTGTTAAACCTTACTGTTAAAAAAAAAAACATTGACTAGGCTTCATGTTCAAATATTTACTGAGATAGACCAAGAATAATAATACATATGCACTATTAACTTTTTGGCAACTGATGGTCCTCTTTTAATCTTGGACAAATTTATGAGCAAGTATTTGAATTTCATGCAATTTCCAAACAAATTCACTAAGCATCCACAGGTAATGGTAATATTAACTGTTTTTGTATAAAGAAACATTTGGCATTCCTTGACCGAGCAGCACTGCTACCATAAGAAATTGATCAAATCTCTAAAGTCCAACACCTGTTATCATTCTTTCCAGTATTGTTTGGAGTTTCCTTCTTAACCTTTTGTTTGAAATAGTGTGTAACATCAGCATTTTGATTGATATTATTTTCTCTCTGAGTTACATGTACTATCTATTCCAGTTGTCACTGTTGAAATTCTTCAAGGGATGTAATTTCTATTATTTGGTAGAGTTCTTTGTGCTTCTTTAGTGCCAGTCCATGAGGTTTGAAGAAGGATTGTTCTTGCTAAGACTTGCAGGATTTATTTGCTCAAAGCCATTTTTAACTATTGATCTGAGATAGCACTTGTTTACAGCTGACTGTTTGGCGCCATGCATGACTTTTCGTTATGTAGCAATTTGCAGTGTTGGGCAAAACTGCCTCTAGTGCAGCCTATTCTATGTTCAATTTCCTTATCTATTATACTAAATTTATTATAACTGATTTATACATCAAGGTTCTTGAAGTGTTTAGTATTTACTAATTCAAAATCCTGAATTTTTATGATGGATTCAGGGTAGGTGCCATCAGTGCTTTCATTCCAGATCTCATAGTTTCTGTTTTGGAAAGGTTTATCTTGAGTCCCTTTTTTTTTTTTTTTTTTTTTTGAACACTTGCTAGTGTTGTAAATGATGTGTTGTTTAATATAAGTTCCAAGTAGTTGATGATATTGTTGAAATATAAGATTTAAAATAAATGGGTCAGAAGTAGAATATTTAATTGTTGTTACAAGACTTTTGTTGGTCTTGCAAAACGGATAATCTGGAACCAAAAGTGCCTTGGTGGTGTATCTTTTATAACAAACTTTGATATAGTTTATTTGATGGTTGGGAGTTCATTCCTTATGTTAGGCAGTAAAATTCATATTCTCTTTTCATTGGAATGAGTAGAAGTGATATCACAAGGATTAAAACTAATGCATGGACAACAGAATGAGAACAGTTTTCCTCTGTCGCATAAAATGGGCTTTACTGCAGAATTTTTATCCCCTCCCTTTCATTAAATGTGTATATGAAAATAATAAAATAATCATTAATGCAAAAGTTTTAACTCATGAGCCTCGCTTTATGTATAATTTTTTTCCCTATTTTAAAAAAGTAAAAAAAGAAAAAAGATAAGAGGATTGTAGAAGAAACTTTCTAGAATATTATTTTATATGTCTAGCTGGCAGTATAATGTTACATAAGCAACCAACTAAATTTTAGTTTTTTTCTAAACAAAAAAGAACAAAAAAAGAAACAGTGCAACAATGTGAAAAGATGTCATCTCAACTGACATGATTTACTGCTGTCAACAAAAGAATCTCTGATATTGGTCAGAAATTCTTGTTGGGTATAGGTGGGTTAAGTATTAGGATGCTTTATAATCCAACTTACTTTGGGGGGATGGGTGGGAAACTGTTAGTGGTTGGTGTCATGAAGTATATATTAGGATATTTAACTGAAAAAGAAAAATCCAAACTAGATGCCTGCTGTTATCATATGGTTTAATTGATTTTGGCAAGAGAAATTGAACTCTTACTTGGTCTGTTTGGAAAACTTCTATTCTCAAATCTTTTGAAGGATTTGTTTCATAAAGTGAATTCCTGGTGATGACTGCATTAGATGTTATTAGTGGAACCAAATCTTTGAGTAAATCAAATATTTTTAATGTATTATTGGTAATGAAATAAAGTATCCTAAACTGTAGCTCTTTAAATGGAAATAAAAAATGTTATTTGAAAATGCATAAATAAAATTCTGTGATAAATGGTTGTGAAAATTTCTCTCTCTCAAAACAAAAAGTCTATTCATAGTGTAACATAGAAGGGGGATTAACCCTATCAACATATAATTGTTAATTCCCTGGAGTCCTGACTGAATGTGATGTTAGTGTAATTAAACAGGTCTATCTCAAGGCCCATTGAAAATAAAGTATTACAAGTTGATTTTGTATGAAATCAAATTGATTTCTCCATAAAATGATACCAAATTTAAGCTCTTAGTATTACAGTTTGACATATGGTTTTGGAAATCTACAACTTTGTAAAAGTTGTAGATTTTTAGTGGCTAGGGTTGATCATGTGATGGGTGTTCATGCTGATTGCAGTTGCATTCAGGTGTTCCTGGACTGTGAAACTTTTGGGTGCATTTGGGCACTTCTGACTTGAAAGGGTTAAGTTGTTTGAGACTTCTTCAGAGTTTGGCTTTCATTTAAAATACAAAAGAATATTTTGATGATAAATTGTATACTTATGAGACATTGACAGTCATTTTTATGATAGGTCACTGTACCAGTTTAAGTTTGCTGATAAAAAAAAAAAATTTCTCCCCCTTCCCCATCAAATTGTTATTGATAGACAAGAAAATATATGCAATCTCTTGTGAGTGGTTTAGGTTTGATGTTATGTAGATTACTCATTATTTGTAATACATATGTGGTGGGTAAGAAAAAATTTGTAACCTGACCTATTTCTCAATTTAAAAAAATTTTTTTTTTAAATGAATTCTTGTTTGGGCTGGTAACTTTTCAAGTTCCCCACCCTATGGACACATGCATACATTAGTTTGCTTGTAATATGAAAATTTTAATCTTGGATATACATTTTTTTATTTTGGGTTATCTGTAATTTAGTTGCCTCATGAGACTTGTAAATTTAAGCAGGCTTTCATCACACATAGAAAGGGAAGTTGAACAAATACACATTTGACCATTGCCTGTGTAAACAAATGTATTTATTATATTTTAAATAAAAAATGATAATTTTCTTAAAAATTCAGTTTGGCAAAATCAAACTAATTTTCCTAAAAATCTATCTATCTAATTCCTGTTTTATCCTGGGAAAGTTTTAATTGCACAATTTAAATATTTCTTTTGTCAGCCAATGTCAATCATGGTTGAAGGAAAGTTAATTTTGAATGACAAAAATTTATATGAAAATTATTCTGGGTAGATATATTGTTCAATTTTTAGAGTACACTGAGAAATTGAGAAATGAAGTGTGAGATGAAATAAGATTTGAACACCTCAGAAGTCTATTGTTTTAAACACTTCACCAACAGAAACTTCATGATTAATTTGGTAGTCATTTTGTTGCTCCTTTCTCTGCACCATCTTTGTTGTGATATTGAGTTAAAATGTGTATCAATACAGTGTTGTGATAAAAAGCAACAATAAGATGGATTAAGATTAGTAATGAAAATGCTTAATCTCAAAAAAATTAAAAGGGAAGAAGTAAAATAAAGCATATTTACATGTCCCAACAAGAAAGAATTTTATGGTCTTATCTTCTGTCTTGGTGGCTTTACTTGAGGCAGATCTATTTTTTAACAAAATACTTAATCCAGCACTGTGTCGGATATTTATTGAGCCTCTTCTATACTTAAAGATGAAAATAAGGGACCACTTATCCTGCTAAAAATTGATTTCCTTTCAACGTATATTGAAAAATATTTCTTTTAGGAACTCGGTTTTTAATGTCTATTTGTTTATTTTTATGTTGATGTATTAAATATAACATTTGACTGGTGTCCTGATGCTTGTTTTTTTTTTTTTTTAATCCTTTGACTTCATAATGTATTTTGTTGGCCATTTTCAAAGATTTTAAATCAGTTTGGTTGAATCCAGTTGGTTTATGAGTTGGTGGTATATGCCAGTACTTCTCTAATGTTTCAAATAAAAAAAATGTAAATTTATCTTTATAACAAGATATATTTCCTATAATTAGTCCTGTTTTAAAGGTAAAAAAACAAGTATCAAGTTTTGTAACTGTCACTTTAATAAACTTATGATAAGATTTTAATTTGTTTGATACTACACATGAGAAGGAAAATGTATTTATAATAGGAAACTTGTACAACTAAATATTTTGATTGAATTAGTGATAAAAGATTTTATGATGGATAATATTTTTCTGTTTTAAATCAAAATTTAATTTTTGTTTTGAGAATTTGATGTCAATTTCATTCTTTAAGGGATAAAAATAATACTTAAAATGTCTTATACCTTCCTAGAAAAAAAATCCTTAGTTTAAAGGATAAAAATGTTTTTTGCAAATCTTTTAGAAGTTGAATGTTAGTGTTTTAACTGAAAATGTAATTACTTGAATAATTTTATTTCTTATTCAGGTTTTGTATGAACAGTTCAATTTTTTCTTGAACTTGTATTTTCTTGTCATGGCAATATCACAATTCATCCCAGAAGTCCGTATTGGTTATTTATATACATACTGGGGTCCTTTGGTGAGTAGCAAATCTTTAATTGTATTGCTTTTTTGGATAGTAATAACAATTTTTATTATTAGGTTTTGCTCAGTATTAAGTTGTGCATACATGTATCTAGTCCTGTGTATGATGATAAACTACATCCGGCAACAAGACTTCTGATCGGGAGATTGGCGGTTTTGTGGAGCATGGAACCATCTCTTAATTGCTGCTGTTCCCAGGTCCACAAAATATTTAGATTTCAGTGTTAAAGAACCCATAGAGATTGATATGCCGCTAAAGAAGACCAACCAAATAACCAACATGAAAGAACTTTTTCATGACATTAATCCATATAATATTCTACAATTTCTTTAAAAAAATCAAATGGTATTCCAAAATATAACTTCCACAAAACTACAACATAAAACACACATATCACTGCCTCTAGTAATTATGTCTACACAAACATGTATATGTACAAAAGCTGAGTATCATCTACCATGTACTCTATTGTGAATAGCATGTATCATATTTTTATTACTTCAAAACTCCCAAGAAAATTAAATTTTGACATTAAATGACCCATAAAGAGTTGATATGTGGTTAAACAAACATACATGTGCACGCGCACACACACACACACACACACACACGCATGCGCGCGCGCACACACACACACGGAAGTTGCACCTGATCATTATGTAATCATTATCAATCCCATGACAGGGTGTGGTTGTATGGTTATTGCACAACAGGCTACTTGACCAGTTCCCTTCATATATCTGGGTTGGGAAACTGAGAGATATTCATTTATGTGTAGCATGTCTTGTGCAAGTAGATCTGGCAGTGCCTATCCCTCTTCAACTTGAAGGCTTGCCTTGGTCACAGATACATGGTCATTGATTCCATTGAGGGAACCCTCCATTCTAGCTGTTGACTTCAGTTTAGAAAATCCTCTGTCCAGCGATGATGTGTCATCATTGTACTGGCTGCATACCTATGATTTAATTGCTGATGAAACTATGAATTTTAAACTGATTTTTCAGTTTTGATCCACTAAGTGAAAACAATTGATAGTCATTTTGGAATGGGTTCATGGTTTAATTAAAAAATGATGTTGGTGAGGAAAACTGATAGAAAATCTTTCATTCTTTTGTGTTTTATTAAGTGTTTATTAATATTAAATTTTGCTTACAAAATCTTAAAATCTTTGCAAACATCCTAATATACATTTTCAAGAACCTAAACACATCTGAAATTGTTCCAATTTTACTATGTTAGCAATTTCAAATTATTCAGTATAAATTTTCAGATCTGCTTTTAGTGTTCTGTGTGCATAATAAATTGTGAAAAAATTTTACAGCATCTCTAAAATTATATTTATTTAAAAAATTTTTTTTAAACATTTTATTTTTGGCTCTTGTCTTGCAGTGTTTTGTTATCTTAGTGACTATGATTCGAGAATGTTTGGATGATTACCGTCGTTACCGAAGAGATAAGGAAGCAAATTCCCAATTGTACAAGAAACTCACAAGGGATGGCTTGAAGTCCCTTCCCAGTTCCAATATTAAAGTTGGAGACTTAATTACTGTTGAGAAGGTATGCACCAGTTTTTTATTTATTTCTTTAGACAATGTACATACCTGAAGGATATATTCAATATTTCTCTTCAACGTCTCTCCCCCCTCCTTTCACACATTTTTTTTTAGCATATGTACAAGTTTTGTTTGTAGAATTCAGCAAAAGGGCAATATGTTATATATACATACATACATACATACACACACACACACACATATATATATATATATATATATATATATATATATATATTATTATAAAACGCAGATTCTGTGTGTCTGTAACGTTTATATATTGGATCGGATTTCCTACATTTTTCAACCGATTTTAACAAAACTTTACAGGACTACATAAAATTACCTTGTGGTGGTTCTAACAGCGCCAAAAATGGGAAAAATATAATTGTTTTTGCACAAAATCAATTTGAAAACACGATTAAGAGACATCGTGAAAATGGAAGGGGGACAACTCACCTCGGGTTGTTTGTGTGTGTGGTTTCCTTTAAATATGGGATCGGATTTCCTATATTTTTCAGCCGATAAAACAAAAATTCACTTGGGGGGGGCAGGTAGTGTTTCTTATTCTCTTGCACACTTTTTTCTTTATTTTTAATATTTAGAATGCTTTAAAAATTCCATTTACAAGACAATTATTTATAATAAAATTCTATTCAATCGGTAGAGACTCATAACGATTGAAAACAATGTTTTTGTTTGAGTTTGGGTTTGACCAATTCATAAAAAAAAAAAAAAAAACTAATTAAGACATGCGTATCCGTCAACCTTAAACAATAATCTTTGTCAATTTTATTTTTCAGTCTTTATGATGGTGGATACTAGATCTATCTCTTACTGTTACATCCCCGGGCAATGCCGGGCCCTACTGCTAGTATATATATAAAAATGTGTATGTATATGTTATTTTTTATTTATTTTGTTTAAATATTATTTTTGATGGATACTCCTATTCAAGTAGAAGCTTTGTTTTTTAATTATGATACAGAGTAGATATGGATGTTTTGAGAATTGGCAGAGAAGTGTGTTTGTTCAAAAGGCACTATTTGGGCTTTGTTTAACTGGAAGTCCTATGGCTGAACGGTCAGGCATGTCAGATCTTGTGATGGTTCCCCATAAGCGATGCAAGTCCAAATCCTGCCAATGGATGCATATTTTTCTGACAAGATTTTTCAAATATTCAGGTCGGTAGATGTAGTTGGATAGAAAACGGAGCTTCTACTTGAATATGAGTATCCATCAAAAATGACATTTAAACAAAATAAATTAAAAATAACAATATGTTAGATTTAATCCATTTCCTATATATAAAAACAATATTTAACCTAACATATAAAACAGACATTAAAAAAAGAACTGGGAAGAACCAGCTTCTTCCTTTTCTCCACTTCCTTTAATTTCTGTGGCCTATATATAGAGCCAACTAAAGGAATAGTGGGACTTGGTCAGAAGATCACTGTGGTCTAAAACTAACAGTCACCATGCAGTAATGATTGCTATATCCATGTTATCTATATCTATAAATGCTCTATCTCCAATATTGAGCACTCGTTCCTTATAAATATAGCAAATTATAAACAGTATAGCAAATGGACATTGAAGTCAACACCCTGAGGCGACAGTCTTTCATGCTAAATGCAATTGTTAAGCCTGACAATTGAGTTTAGCATGAAACAGTCTGTCACATCTGTGTGTTGATTTGATTGTCCACTTTTATATTTACATACCTCTTATCCTTGATATTGAACACTTTAATCCATAAATATAGCTTTTTTAATTTTTTTTTTTAAATCAGAATCATCCCAAGGAAGGCAGTAATGCCACTAAAACACAGTGTGGTAGAATTAGGAATAGAAACATTAATGATGAACAGAAAGAGAAAAGAGTAATCAGGTGGACAGTAGATAGCAATTGACATAGCATTTAAATCTTTGTAGATTAAAATTAGCTGGAAAGTTTTGAGTTGGAATTGGAAGGGAGTTCCATAAACAAGAAGTGTGAGAAAAGAAACTGTTAGCATAGAATTTATAGTTATATCTAGCTGGTTCAACTGTAAATTGATGAGATCTCGGTGCCAGTCTAATGCTGTGATTAAATTCAAAAACCCTTGCTGCCATAGCTCATCTGAACAATTACCATATAAAAGTATTCATAGAAAAGACAGAGAGGCAAACTTACGGTGGTGGGGAAAGTGACTGGAGCCAGATCAGGACCAATAATATTGCAGATTCTTCTTTGGATCTTATTAAGGAACTCAAGGTAAATAGCAGGGGCACTGGACCATATGTGGCAGCAATATTGTATGCATGGATGAATGGTCGACTTCTAGATGTGTAATATAGATTCTGGATAAAAAAATTGTCTCATCCAACATAGTGAACCATCTTTCTTAGCAGTTGACCTAGCAATGGATTCAATATATTCTTTCCACTTCATATCAGCAGAAAATGTGAGCCTGAGAAAGTGCACTGAGTCACTTTCCTGGAGGATAGCATCAGCCATGCTGATGGAAGGCAGTGAGGGGTTTCTCAGATTATTAATGGAGAGAAATTTAGTTTTGGAGGTGTTAAAAAAGTCTGATGATCCAGAACCCTGTTAAAGGGGGTTATGGTGAAATAGCTTATTACATGGAATCTTAACATGGTCTATCTTTTATTCAAACATATCTGCTCTGAATTTTACATTGAGCTCTCTGGATATCATCCTCCTCAGGTCTACCCATACGGATTACCTAAATTTGCATAAACTAATATATATATATATATATATGTATATAAATAAAAAGAAAGAACAGTAAGATATAAAATCCGGTGTTCTTATAGATATTTTTATTTTTACAAAATAGTGCTCAATGTAAATTTACAGAGCATTAATATTATAAATTAATTGATTTAACCATATTTTAAATCAATTAATTTATAAAAAATATATATATATATATTTAGTGATGGGACAATATCTATATATTTAGTGATGGGACAATATCTATATTTTTATTGATTCTGATACAATTCTTGATTCTGTTCTAAATTTCCAATTATGATATGATTCCCAATTCTGATACCTACAATGATTAAAATTCATTATTTTCAGACCCTACAGTTGCTTTGGGAAACTTAATGAAACATTTATTAGAAAAATGAATACAAAAGCTTATGAAATAATGTTAGATATCCTTTTTATTTAAAATGGGTAAGAGTTTAAACAATAAAGTGAATTTCTTCATGTAAATCACTTATGTACCTAGTTACAGTAGACATATTGCTTTACTTTGGTTATAAGAAATCTTTAAAAAAAAAAAAAAAAAAAACTTCCAAACTACATTTTTTTTTTGCTTTGCATACATTTGCCTGAATTGGGATCTGAAAGTAATAAACATTAGTTAAAATTTAAATTTTTCACTGTTAGATAAAAAATGTTTCTATTTTTCTAATGTGTATAATTTGTAAAGATTCAATTAATAATGGTTTGCTGTTAATTGTAAAATAAAAAAGAGTGTATTTTTTGTCCACTTTAAGTTTTAAGAAGCAAAGGTGCCCTCTAAATATGCAATCTTCTTAAAATTTTATATGTGGCATTTTTCAATGAATGAAACAAATTCAGGGTTGACAATTCAATTTCAGCATGCACTTCAAAAATAAGAGACACCCTGTTGCAACAATAATATTCTCAGCAGAAAGGCATCATCCTATGTATTTGTGGTTTAACTCGTGTATATATTTTGATAAAGTACAAGGAGTACCTAATCCTGCAGGACAGTAAGAAAAATAAATAAATGAAAATTTTAAATTTGCTTTCAGAGGTTTAATAAGAATTAAATATGAATTATCACAGTAATTTAATAAATAAATAATAAAGGCTCTTCAATCTTATCTAAAAAAAAATTAATCAATAATAAGTTTTACTGTCTAAAAGAAATTTCTCACAACTAAAAAATTTAATAATTTCTAAGCAGAATCAATTGTTTTATTTTAGTTAAAAGAAAAAATAGTAAAATTGCAACAGCATAGTAAAAACATATCCCTTGATATTTTTTTTCTTTTGAAAGAAATGTAAGCAATTTTAGGAAACTTTACAATAAATTTGTAAAAATATTAGGAAGTTGAAACCTAAATAACGCTGATATCCAACTTGATCATTTTGTAAGGTATGAGATTCAAATTCAACTGTTACAAAGCATTAAAATAAAAATAAGATTAAAAATGATTAAAATTTTTGAGGATGAGAACAACTGTAAATGTGTATTTTTTTGCATGGGACTGACTTTTTTTTTTTTCAGTTATTTATTAGATTATTAGAAGATGAAATTTTACTAGTTTTATTTTAAAAAAAGCAAATCATGTTAAAAATGGAAAAAATCTATAGCTTAATTATGCCAGATAAAAATGGGATAAAAATACTCATTTTTCACTTTTTTTATACACTTCTGCTTGTATCTTGTTTGGCTCCAAGGAGGGATAAATGAGAAATATATTATTGGTGTCTGTCAATATATCAAGAAAAGGACAAAGTTTTTTTGAATTTTTATGTAGTTCATATACTTTTTCTAAGTTTTTAACTAAGATGAGAATATTGTCTACATATCTTAGGTAGATGGAGGGTTTTTTAGTGGTATTAGATATTTTATTTTCAAGTTTAGCCATGTAGAACTTAGTAAATGTTGGTCCTAGAACTGAACCCATGGAAACGCCATCACGTACGTATATATTATTTTCATTGTCATAATAGGGAACCTCAGTAGTGCAAGCCAAGAATAGTTTCCGTAATGTTTAATATTTAGTGAAGGGAGAGATGGATTGTTGTAAATATTTTTTAAAATTATATCAATTGTTTCTCTAACTGGGACATTGGTAAACATCAAGTGAGGTGATGGTTTCATTATTAGTTTTTTGTGTGTTTAAGATTTGGATTAGTTCGTAAGTTGATTTAATGCTGTATTTATTAGGTATGTATGGTGTTATGAGTTGGTTAATGATTTTGATAAACTGGAGTGGAGATTTGGGATATGATAGGACAGAAAGGGAAGTTAAGTTCTTTAATTTTTATAGTTCCATCCATGTATCCTGGTTTGTAGACACCAATTATTTTGGAAAGTTTTAAGTTTTCTTGTTCCATGTTTGTTGATTTTCAATTTCAGTTGGTTAATAGTTTTTGTTGACTTTTTAAAATTTGGTGTGGTTGTCAAATATTTGTTGTAATTTTGAATTGTAATCAGATTTATTTAATACAATGAAGATATTGGTTTTATCTGCTTTTTTAAAAATTATATGAGTATGGTTACATAGCTCCTTGGCAGCAATTTTTAACTGTTTTGTTAAAAGAACATTTCTGTCCACATTTATGTTTTAGAGAAATATTAATTGACAATACATGTGTACTCCCTTATGAAAAAAACCCCCAAAAAAACAAACTTTTTCAACAGTCGGATTTTCTATTGTAGAAATAATACTGAGATAAACAAGAGAGTATTTATCTTGGAATTTGCATTATCATCCAGTTTTTAAATTGGCTTAAAATTTTATTGTTTCGTTATAATCTTAAGATTATCAGTGCAGCTATAACTTAGTTTTAATGTGTTTCTGCTAAATATTTTACTGAGAGGATTATTTCTCAGGAAATAGATATTCTCTGGATTAAGTAACCAGTGTTTGATATGTGTTGGTAACTTAATTCAGAGAATATCCATGGTTTTAATACATGTGACACATGTCTGACTAATGAGAACTGACCCAAACATAATTGAAAATACCAGTGTTTTCTGTCTTTTTTCTCTCAATCTTTGATTAAGCTTTTAAAAAAGTGGAACATGTTAGATTGATATACGTTTTCTATTTGTTCTTTTATCTTATTATCCTGTTGGATTCTGATCTACATTTGATCTTTAACTCCTAATATATATATATATATATATATATATATATATATATATATATATATGTGTGTGTGATATCATGGTAGGAATTAGTAAATAAATATAGTAAAACTTTTATCTGCTCCACTGATATACAACAAATGCTGCTATAAAAAGGATGAAAGCCATAAGGTTAGTTATAATGTAATGCTGACTGCATTTGAACTTGATTTTATGTCTATAGCTTTTGACTTTGTGATTCCATTTCTGGTAGTTGGTGGTGAGGAAGTGAGATTAACCACCAAATTTTGTTATTTTTTTCATTTAAAATTTGTGAAAGTTTCAACATTCATTCTCAAGAAGAAAGGAATTGTCAGTGTTCAAAGATTAAATGCAAACATTACTTATATAATATGATTATTATATTTAACAGCTAAAAAAGTATGGTTCTAGATTATCTGTTAAAAAATATTGGTAAAGTTATTTTCTGCAAAATATTACAATGAATAGAATCTGGTCTAAAATGGAAGTGTAGACCTTTCCTTCTATTAATGAATCTCTCTGAACTTGACTTACTCATAACCTGTGTTATTAGCATAAGCAGCTCTGCACTCTTGACAGAATAGATGTTTAAACTTAGTCATCTGTTGATATTTTTGGTTGTACAAAATGGATTTATAGACAGAACAAGCAAATAATACTCTTTGTTTTTTTTCCCCCCTTTTCTGTTCCTGACTCTTAAGAATTATTATCAGTTTGTATAACAGAATTATGTGCTTTTCTGTTTTCATTAGAACCAGCGAGTGCCTGCTGATATGGTGTTGATTCGGACCACTGAAAAAGGAGGAGCTTGCTTCATCCGTACAGATCAGATGGATGGAGAGACAGATTGGAAGTTACGACTGGCTCTACAGTCTTGCCAACATCTTCCATCTGATGCAGTGAGTAAATTCAAATGATTACAAAATATTAATTTGGAATGAAAAAGTAAAAAAAAATTTAACATTACTCCTTACTGGGTTGGTGTCACCTGTGCAGTTGCAAGAGATAACTGAAAAGTATCTTTAGCTAGGGATGAACTAGGAGGGGAGGGGTCAAGGAAGATAGTCAGAAACTCATATTCATGGAGTAACTATGTGTTTTGATACACACCACTGGTTATATACCATTCAAGCTCTCTCTAGAGGCTGTGTGTTAGGGATAGTCACCAGATTTGTTATTGGCTTGCTTTAACATCTGATAATCCATTGGATATAAGAAGTTAGATGCATTTTGTAATAAACGATAAAACAATTCTCTTGTAAATGATTTGGTTAGTTTCTTTAGTATTTAATTCTTTAATATTCAGTGGTGCAATTGGAAAAAAAATTTTATTCTTCAGTGTTTGTTCTAAAAATAAATTCATTTTTAGCAACTGATTTATCTCAACATTACTTAGTATTGTTTTTTTTCTTTTAGTATGGTTAGGTAAATTGATATTCAGTAGGTATAGCTTGAAAATTTCTGCTTATAATTATCTGAGAAGTGTGTGTATGTGTTTAATTTTTAATTATATAAAAGAAAATAAATTTATTCATGAAAATATCAGAAAGTTATAAAAAAGGCACATTTTTATATTTTAGTGTTAAAGTTCATAAATTAATAATTGTTATTGCAATAGGAAAATATGAGGTTCCTTAATTGATAAGAACAATTAAAGAAGATTGATTTCAGATGAGAATTCAGTTTTGTCTTGTAGACATTTAAGACATGTATGCAGAAGATTTTCTGTTTCAAATTTTCCATAAATCTGTTTCCACTTTTGGTAAATTCTGTTTTTTCCCCGTTTTTACTTTTGGGAAATTTCATTTTTTTCCATTTTATGAGAAAATTGCAATATAATATGCTATAATTATTATTAAAACTGAAAACAAAAACATAATTCAAAGTTTTATTGCATATAAAGAAATAGCAAATATCTACAAATTTTTTTTTAAATGTTAAAATCCAAGTCCAAAAATAAATATGTAAAAATAAAAATAAAAATCTAATATGACTATACAATAAAACAATGGAATGTTACAGTGCATAATTATCTTTGAAGTAGAACTTTTAATCAGAGCTCCCTTCTTTAATAACACATTCAAATTGTTTTTGTTTTTTTTAAGTAAAAGTATTTAGATTGATTTATAATTGATTCATAATATAAAAATCACATTTAAAGTATCAACCAGAAATAACTTGAATCTCAATAGTAAATATCTGAATAAAGTCAAACATTCTGACTAAAATTTTACAAAAGATAATAACTGAATCTTTGTAACAAAATAATAACTGAATCTTTGTAACAAAATATCAAAAAAAAAACAAATTAGATATATTAATTCAAAATTTAAATAAAACAACTTCTCCCAAGTTGAATTACTGCTCAAATTTAAAATTGCTAATTTCTTAATTTGGGAAATATTTAAATCTTCAAATTTTTTCTCTAAATCTCCATTGTAATACACTGTGAGTTGCTTGGTGTTCTCAGGGGTAAGATTTTCATGTTGTTTATTGAATAAATGTTTATACTGAGAAAATGAACATTCAGCATCTATGCTGGTAACAGGCATCCATATGACCTTATTGGCAATCTGTTCCAGAAAAGGAAATCTTCTCTTATTTGCATTCTAAAATGATGGGATATTAAAAGGATTTGGTAAATCATCTTGGTAATTCTCATACATTTGGAATTCTTCAAGAAGATCAATGGAAAGACAGTTCTTAATGGCTGCAAAACTGTCTAAATCATGGCCTATACAGGGTAGTTGTCTAGAATCAAACAGGTGAGCTGCCTTGTAAAAGTTATACACAGGGTGGGTATCCAGGTATTTATTTAGTTTTGAAAAAGATGTGCTTAAAAAATCTTGGAAATTTGAGATAACTCTCTCCCTCTCTGTGTTTTCTAGTTCAGACAGAAGACAATCAGTTTCTAGGCCAAATATTGAGCTTGATGTACAAGTATGCAAATATTATTTTATATCCTCCTCCATGTTATATATGATGCATGCAAGCGGAGACTTTGTTTCTTCTAAGTTTGTCAAAGTTGTTATTAAACAAGTGCAGTTCTCATTCATAAAATGCAGATTTAGGTACAAATTATGGTAAGAGGCATGATGTAGTTGACCATCATCTACTAATTCTAATCCTATCTACTGCAAGGCCATGGCTCTTTTCTTGCTTAAAGAATCCTTCATAAAACTGTACAAAGGATGAGTGATATTTGACCGCATTAAACTAATCTGGTTGCCATTGGTACAGGGGGTAGTTTCACTTGTTCCTTAGAAACCTTCAAGCCATTTTAGGTATCAACCTTTTTAAAAAAAAGGTTGACTTGATGAAAGTAGTGAGCTGGGTAACATTAATAAATGCTGACCAGTGTGAAAATACATCACCAACAAGATTTAAAATATGTGCTAAGCACAACATATGACAATTGTTAACAAAGACAACACTTCCTTATGAGTTTTTTTTTTTTTTTTGCAATAGGATGCAAAATCTGTTACAAAGGCAATAATATCCTCAAATGCAATATCCACATGAGTTACAGCTCAGATTTATGCCTGACTTACAGTTTGATGATTGCATTCACCCAAGGTTACAACATCGATGAGAAATGACTCCCCATGAATGCTTGCAATTACATTCATAATGTTGTGGTCATGATAGTTGTTTCATCTGTTATGATACTGACTGATTGATTAGCAAGCTTGGCTTTCAGGGCAGCAAAGTGATAAACAATTTTGGTAGATGAAGTTGCCTAACACAATTGACACTTGGAATAGCACCACTTTCTTTACAATGTTTTTTATATAAATGGCCTCATTTTGTCAATTTTGTGTAGGGGAATGTCAAACAAAGTGCACATTTTCAAAAAATCAACGACAAAATCATCTCCTACGTCTTTACTCTTTAAGTTGTGATTGTCTTCTGTTTCAGTTGAGCCAACTCTTTTTAAGATTTTTTTTTTTTTTATCAAATGAGTTTTTAATTTGAATGTAATCTTGATTGTGTCAACCCTAAATATAGGTACTTCCACTTTTTTTTGTGGGAAAACAGCATAGCATAATGAAAAAGCCACAAACTTAATAAAAATAAAGTATTATCATTAAAATGTTTATTATTAAGATGAAAGACCAAAGTATTTTTTAATCATTCTTTGAAATTTTTTAATCCTTTCTAAAATGTTCGAAATTTTAGTTAAAATCTTGTTTTGTTTACATCATTGCGGTAACATAATAATAACATTGATTATTTTGCGCTTTTTTCTGTTGAAAACACATTGATTTGGAAATTCTTGTAAAAATAATTGTCTCATTTTAATGAAATTTTCAGGATTTATTCACAAATAAATGAAATTATTTTTGAATTATTTTTTTTTTTTTTAATTCATATGCTATCCCCGACTTACTTAATTTCATGAAAGTTCACAAAAGACCATTCTATTTCCTGAATTATTATTTTTTTTTTTTTTTTTTTTTAATACATATGCTATCTGCTATCCACCACTTACTTAATTTCATGAAAGTTCACAAAAGACCATTTTATTTCCTGAATTATTATTTTTTTTTTTTTATACATATACCCCCACTTACTTAATTTCATGAAAGTTCACAAAAGACCATTTTATTTCCTGAATCATTTATTTTTTTTTTTTTTTTATTCGTTAAATGTAGGGCTCCTTGGAGAATCTAAATTGCCTAATATTTTTTTTTCAAACTTGCATTATTCTAACTGAAAATCTTCTCTGAATTGAAAAATGAAAAATTCAATAAAACTATGCCATTATTAGAAAAGCTTTTAATTGCTTTTGTAAATAAGTTATATTAAGGACATTATTGTCTGAAGAAATAAAATTTTTCCGATGAATAATGATTTTTTACAAGGATTTTTTCATTTTTTTAAAAAATTTAATTATAATGTTTATTATAGTTTAAAACTCTGTAAAATTCTGTATTGCGCTATTTCCTGGATGTGATATAGTAATTAAGTGTAAATGAAATTTACAAATCCAAAATTGTAAAGATTAATAAACATACTTATGCTATTCTATTTTTAAAATTTTTTATTTCTTATTTTTTTACTTAATTTGTACCCTACTTTCATCTATCAAAGTCTAAATGTGACATCATTATGAAATGGTCACGTGATCTAAGAGTTTTATCTCTTTACAGAGAAATTAATTTAAGAAAATTTTATAGTATTTTAAATTTCTTTTATTTTTGTATAAAGCATCTTCAAAAGGTAAATAAAAGTCAATAAATTATTAAATAATTGCAGAAAATATGTTCATTTGTAAAAATTACCTGTAGTTAAAAACCCAAAAAAATATGTTCACTTAGATTTCTTAAATTTCGTATCAACTCTAGCCACCCATATTAGCTGTCATCATTTTGTCACTCAATCGGCCATCCATTATTGCCTCAGATAAGCTATGATAAGCAGGACCAATGGTTGTATACTACTTTTTATGCTATAAGTAAGTAATATTTATTTTAAATCAGATTAATTTAACTTTGAATTTTCTAATTTTACTCAAATAACTTGTCAGAAATATATATGTATTTTTTGAAAGATTTTTAAAATCAATAAATTTTTTTTGTTTACAAATTTCTTAAAATTAAGAAAATGGCCACTTTTAAGAAAATTTTAAGAAATCAAAATTAAATTTGACATTCCAATCTATATAATTTCTATCTGAAATACACCAGAATATTTTACTTACTGGAAATAATAAAATTAATCATTTAGCTTTTGATTAAAGCTAAAATGAAATCTTCAAGAATGTTTTTCATTTTTAAAAATTCAATCTAACTTTAGATATTGAAAATTTATGCCGAAATAGTGAAGGTACCTACCTAAATATGTCAACACTATGGAGACAGAATTTGCAAAATAACATTTTCTTCTGCATAAAAGTTATCAAAAAATTGCTCTACTCTGGCCTCAGCACAAATTTTAGATACTGGAGCCATTTTTTTTTTTTTTTTTTTTTATAGAGGAGCAGACCCAACTCTAGAGGTTGATTCACTATATTGACTTTATTCAGTCATATTGGCAATTTGTTGCTTATTCATAAAACTAGTTTAGATTACAAAATATAAATAAAATATGAAAAAATAATCATTGATAGATAATATTATTAAAGGAATTTCTTTTTGTTCAATTTAAATTTGTTTACAATAGTGAAGCACTGAAGATGATGCAATTATTAATCCAGGAGAATCACTGCATGACAGTAAACTTAGACAAGCCAGTCGTTTCATAGAATGGTATTTTTGGAGAATTTTATTTATTTTTTTTTTTTTAAATTGTATGTGAGGCACATGATAGCATTTACTTTTCTTTCATATTCGTAAAACAAGTTGTTTAGAATCTTTTTACTGTAAATTGTGTGAGGTCTTAAAAGGAAATGAATTTGTTAAACGTATTGGTTTGATCTTCATCTCTCTCTCTCTCCACCTCCAATTTTGACAGCAACAAATATCTGTCTTCCATTTCCACTTTAGCAATGGATTTCGGTGATCACAATCGAGCTGTGACCTGACTTTCATCTCGTTTGCAACATACAGTTTCTTAGAAAAGTTTAAAAATATTTAAAAATAGATTAGCCAACATATACTCAGAAAATCGGCAACCCACTTTTCTTCTTATTTATGTAAACATTTTTGTTCTTAATTATTTTGGAGGTTTTACAAGGAAATATTTATAAAAACAAATCTTAAGGAAATAAGTATGTTATGTTATTGTTATATTAAAATGTTTAACAAAATTGGAGAGACAGTTAAGTTTTGAAAGAATTAAAAAAAATCTGAAAAAAAATTAAACAATTTGTGATTTATTATTGAAAGTTACATTAAAAAAAACAGATTCCATTTAAGATTAATGTTTTCTTGATTCTGTCTGCGATTCCGTAGTCATAGAAAATTAGTTCCCCTAGAAGAGTTGGCAAAGAGTTTTGAATTATGTTGAGATAAATCAGTTGCTAAAAGATGTGCCTTAAATGTTTTCTTATTTTGATTAAATATGTTACAAAGACAAATTTTGTAGGCTACAGCTCTTGTCAGAAACAATATAATTTCATAATAGGGATCCACAGTACTTAAAAGGAAAATAATCTTGTGAGATTTATTTATTTATAAATAAATCAGCTTGAATGAAGATCAGTGGATTGATTGAAAAAAGAAATGATTTGCTCACATAAGAGGTGGAAAGAATAGCATTATTCTAATTAGTTCATTTAATGAGAGGTTATGTATGCAAAACAAAATTCTTTACTTTTGTCTCTATTAAAAAGAGAGAAGAAAAAAAAATTCTGACCTATTTGTGTAGTCTTGCCACAATCTGATAATATTTCTGATATTTTTCAGCACCTCCTGGATATCACTGCACACATCTATGCAGAAAAACCCAGTAAAGATATACATTCATTTGTGGGAACGTTCACAATGGTAAGTAGATTACTTTACATGGGTTTTGTGTGTAACTTTCAACTAATTTCACCATTGTTTTATCATAGACTCTCAAGTAATGACCGGAGAAAGGTAAGCTTGTAAACCCAGGCTCTATGACAAATGTCCTATATAATAATAATCATAATAAAATATTATCATTTTCTTATCTCAAAGCAGAAGCAAAAATTGTCATTGTTCCTAAAAGATGATGCTTTATATTAAACAATTGATATAATTACTAATGTGTCACAACTGTGTGTAATATATATATACAAATAAAGACTTATACCCACAGAAGAAAATAGACTTAAATAGAGAGGCGGTCATTTTACCTTTCGGTGACCCTTTTGGCCAACACTTTATCAAAAAGTGAACATTGGTGCATAGAACAAAATAATCAATGACACACTTGTAAGTGTAGAGGTGGAATCGAACCTAAGATGCCCAGTTACAAGACCGGAATGGTCTTGGCCACACCCCCATAGAAGTAGACTCGCCCGCTTACATGAGAGGGAGAGTGGGCTACTTAAACAAGACATTCACGGCAACGAAAGTATCTAAGCAGATACGTCGTCTCGCTGCTACCTTACATGGCGTCGCCGATATAGGAAACCTGCTACAAACAACGTTGGAATATGGACGAACAAACACAGCAGACATTACTTGACAGCTCATCGAAGCTACAGCAAGAGATCATCGCCCTGCGAAGAGACGGAGGACAGCCGAGAAAGTCACTTACAAGGAGACCCGACAGACCTAATATAGAACGGACTCAAGTGATGGTGACTGGGCGATATTCATTGACTCCTGGAATAGATACAAGGAGATGTGTGGGTTGACGGAGCCAACAGCGTTAAGAAACGAAGCTGAGAACGGCCTGTGCCCCAGAAGTGAACAGGCTGTTGTTCGATATGGTAGGAGCAGAAGTACTAAACTCCGGCCACGGAGGAAGAGCTGTTCGACACACAAAGCTCAGAAGCCGCCAGAAGCCTACACAAAGAAGTGTACCGGCAAGAATTCCACTCCGTAAGGCAGAAGGAGGGGGAATCGATTCACGGACTTCGTGGCACGACTTCGATCAGTCGCAAAATTCTGCGACTTTTTCAGTGACTTGTCCGAACGGGATAGGATGCGGTCGGAAAGTCAGCTACTCCAACGATATGGTAGCAGGACAAATGGTGGCTGGGCTGGCAAACCTGGAGCATCAAAGCAAGGTGTTGTCTGAGGCTGCGACACTTACGACACTGGAAGAAAATTCAACAGGCTTGTCAGCCTAGAGACCACGGACAAGTCTACACCCCATCTCCATAGTAACGTATACCTTACTACAACGAGCACACACAGAGATCGGGGCCAGCAGGCAGCGGCCTCGGGAGAACCAGACCGATCAACCCCAAGAGACACTGAACCTTGTAAATGGTGTGGGAAGAGCTCACACCCTGACGGCTCGAATGAACGAAGGGGTTGCCCAGCAGCAAAGATGACTTGTCACAATTGTGCTTAACCGGACATTTAAAAGGGGTTTGCAGGAAACCGAAGCAGGGGTACAGCAACAAATCTACAGCAGGTGTGGTCGGAGCAGAATCCAGAACTCTCACCACCCAAAGACACAAGAAGGGTCAGAATCGGATGATCGCCCAAGATGGACAAGTGAAAAGGAGAGGTGAAATCAACCTGACAAAACCAAAGGCCGCGGCCGCACCTGATTTGGAACAAAAGTAAGTTCGAAGAGGTACTCCTGATCCAGCACCAACCCTGATGGTAGAGATAACTCTGATTCCAGAGGCCCATGCGAATTCGGGCACATATCCATAGGACAAGCTGGCCTCCATACTCACCGGATCGAGGCGATCGCGAGACACTGGGGCACAGACATGCTCTAGCGGACCAGAAATCCAAAAATTTGAAGTGTCCAGACAAATGTCTAGTACCGACTAGTCACCGAATTCGGGAATCACGGATAACCTACTAAACATAAAAGGCGTGATATTCGCTAAAGTCAGAGTAGGATCGCTGGAAACACGTCAGATTATATATGTATCAAAAAAATACATCAGATTTCTGCCTGTCCGAGTCGGCCCTAAAAGACCTTGGTCTGGTGCCAGATAACTTTCCAGACCCAACTTCCCAGCAGAACGTGGCAACTAGCGACGGCGGAAAGGCACCATGTGGGTGCCCACAAAGAACTAATGTCCCACCTAAGCCGGACAGTATCCCTTTCGCTCCTATGGAAGAAAACAGACCCCGATTGAACGATGGATGAAGGAGCATTTTGAGTCCAGTGCATTCAATGTATGCCCACATCAACGGCTGCAGGCGATGGAAGGAAAACCCATGGACATCACGCTCATCCCGGGGCCAAACCCTCAGCTGTCCACACCCCAATCCCGTCCCACACCATTGGAAGAAAAGAGTCAAGGAGGACCTCAACCGAGACGTGGCATTGGGCATCATAGAACCTGTACCAGTGGGTACACCTACAACATGGTGCTCCAGAATGGTGGTTGCACCGAAAAAGGACGGGTCACTGAGGCGCACGGTGGACCTACAGAAGCTCAACACCGCTACCCTACGAGAAACCCATCATACACCGTCTCCTTTCAATCAGGCATCGCTGGTGCCTCAAGTAAAACTAGAAAAACCGTTTTGGATGCATGGAATGGCTATCATAGCCTAACCCTCTCTCCATCGGCAAGAGATGCAACTACCTTCATCACGGAATGGGGTAGATACCGTTATCTTCGGGCACCACAATGATTCCAAGCGTCAGGAGACGATATACACGCAGGTTCGACAATATTACTGTAGATATGCCCAGGAAAAAACAAGATGTATTGACGACACGATACTATGGGACAACTCTATTGAATCATCATTTTGGCATACTATAGTGTACATAAATAACTGCAGCAAAAATGGTATCGTATTCAACCCCAGAAATTTCACTTTATGGAAAAAGAGGTGGAATTTGCCGGTTCTTGATAACAGAAGACGGGATAAAACCCACCAAAAAAATGACTGAAACAATACGGAATTTCCGACACCAAAAAATATAACTGACATAAGAGCCTGGTTTGGAATGGTAAACCAGGTAGCCTACGCTTTTTTCTCAGGCGAGGTAATGGCCCTGTTCGGGAGCTGCTAAAGACAAAAATCGGAAGTTCTACTGGGACAGCACACTCGATCGAATCTTGAAGAGTCGAAAAGAAGGATCACAGAAGAAATCGAGAACGGTGTAAGAACCTTCAAGTGAATAGGCCAACTTGTTTGTCGACGGACTTCAGCAAAACAGGCTTAGGATATTTTCTTTTCCAGAAGCACTGCAACTGTGCCACCGGCTGGACCGAAGTGTGGTGAGGACCACTGGAAGTTAATCCTGGCGGCTCCCCGATTCACTAATGACGAGAGTCCCGATATGCACCAGTGGAAGGAGAAGCATTGGCATTAGTCTCACGGACTGGAAGCATGCCGGATGTTCGTTTTGGGGTGCCCAGAGCTGTTAGTCACCGTGGGACCATAAGCTCCTGGTGAAGATCTTCTCGGACAAAGCTCTGGAGGACATAAAGAACCCAAGACTGTTTAACTTCAAAGAACGGTCCTTGATGTACAAATTTCGAATAAAGCATCTCCCTGGCAAACTCAATGCGGCACCAGACTGTACATCGAGATGCCCAGTGGCGTTAAGCCAGGAGGAAGCAACGAAAAGGACATCGCACAGACGATGGATAGCGCCATAAGAGCGTCATTTAACTCCACCTATGAGCAGGACCCTAAATTAAGAGCAATAACATGGGACAGGATTGTGGCTGCAGCTGCTACTGACGAGGAATGCTGTTCCCTCGCCGAATTCATACAAAATGGCTTCCCTAAATCTCGGCACGAACTGCCGGAGACAATTCGCCGGTTTTGGCATATGAAAGAGGAGTTATATTGCTTGGAAGGGGTGACGATAATGGAAAATAAAATCCTCATACCCAGAAAGCTACGTATGGAGGTACTGGAATCGCTCCATTCAGCGCATCAGGGCGCCAATGGAATGTTGGCAAACGCTAGACAGCGGCTGTTTTGGCCAGGACTGGACGCGAGCATTCATCAAACCCGGCCCAGTGCAAAGTATGCAACGTAATAGCTCCATCACAACCCAAGGAACCCCTAATGCCGCCCTCGAACCCCGAAGTTCCCATTTCAGAAGACTGTGACGGACTTCTTCGACGATTTAGGAAGAACTATCTAGTATATGCAGATAGATACACGGATGGGTAGAAGTCACTCTGATGTCGTCCGGGAATGCCAAGGCTACATGTGACGCCCTACTGAAACTGGTTCTGCGTATGCCGCATCGGAGGAACTTTCAACCGATGGCGGACCACCGTTTGACTCAGTGAATTTAACCGGTTCCTAGATAATTGGGGCATAAGGAAACGAACATCATCGGCATATTACCCTCAAAGCAACGGGAGAGCAGAACTGGCAGTTAAAACGGCTAAAAAGGATACTTGTTGATAGCACGGACAGTTGCGGTCGCCTATGCCATGACCAGGCAGCTAGGTCCCTACTGACTCATCGCAACACCCGGTACGAGACCTACATATGTCTCCAGCGATGATGCTCTCACGGTCGCGTGATAAAGGACCATCTCCCAGTGCTCCAGGACCGATATCGAATCCACAAACGCTGGAGAGAAATCAGTCATTATAGGGAAACAGCGATGGCAAAAAAAGACACTTAAGGAATGAAAGAGGATACAATCTAAAAGTCACCCACTTCAGGAACTGAAAATCGGGGAAACGGTGCAGATACAGAACCAAGTTGGTCCATACCGCGCCGATGGGCAAAGACAGGAAGGGTGGTGGAAACACTGGGTAACCGCAGTATAATGTACGCATGGATGGGAGTAACGGGTAACCCGTCGCAATCGCAGATTCCTCCGAAAAAATAAACCCAGTAGTAGATACTCCTTGCACTTTCGATACCTGAGGTGCCCCCAGGAATGTTGGATACCATAGACAACCCAACAGGGCCCGAAATACCGGGAGAATGGTCCACCACTGATATGGATCAAACCCAGTCAAAACATCCGACACTCTACCAGAACCGATGGAGGTAGATGACACAGCATCCCTGGAATGATGGAGGTTGAGGAAGACCAACGGTGCATCGTAGCAGAAGGGTGACGCGACTACCCAGGAACCTATCCCCACAGACGTGGGGCACGCCGCACGACTACCCAGAGCCTCAAAACATTGGACCACAACGCGAGTATCTTGTGGCCCCGGAAGGGAGGGGGCGTGTAGAGACATTCACGGCAACGAGTATCTAAGCAGATACACGTCGTCTCGCTGCTACCTTACAGTAAGTAACAAATGAGGAGGGAGAATTGGAACATGATTAAAATAGATTTTAATTGTAAAGAAATTGATGAACAAATGGTTCCCAAAAAGAGTATAAAAGAGAAAAAAATTACTCATATTTCCTCAATTAAACATAAGGAATGAATGAAGTGTTCCTTTTGCTTACATAGGATTGGCTGATGAAATTTTATATACACTGCCTCAAGAACTCCAAGATGGTGGACTGAGTGAGCTCTATGTAAACTTTGTCAATGTAATTGGTGGCACAGTCAGGATTGTCTAATAAATGTTGTCCAATTGAAGAGTTGTGCACAGATTGAGTTTTTTTATTTTTTTCATACAACTCTGACTACTAGAACACAAATAGGCAGGCATGTGTTGTGTAACGAGAGTTTCCGGCCTTTGATTGGACTGTTCTATGTATACTGCATCACAATGGCATTTAAATTTATATATAACAGAATTGTTCTAAAGATAGGATCTTTGCTAAAAGTTTTCCATAATAGATCAGTTATCCTTTTATATCTTATGCGGATATAATTTGAAATACAGTATGCAACTTAACAGCCTTATAGCAAGAAGTAATGCATGTTGAAACTCTGTCAGCAAGCAACTGGCACTTCCTACCTAAACATGGCAATTTCAGGTAAATTGAGCACTGGCTGGGTCTTAAACCACTGTCTGATTTTATGTTCAATAATGTGCTTAAGAATATTAGTAAGAAAACCATTTTCTACAAAAAGTTTTTGGTCTTTGCAAGTTCTCTATTTAACATGCTGGGAGAACAAATCAAAGCACAATGGACCAAGGTGTAAACTAAACCAATTTTGCAGGCCTTAGGAATGAAAGAGTTCCAATTCGTTTATAAGCCTGTGAATGTGGGTTTTCAAAAAATACTGGTGACAAAAGCACCATCTTTATGTTCTACATGAACATCTAAAAAGGACATTACTCTCAACATCCATAGTAAATTGAAGGGATCGATAGAGAGAACTGAATTCTGCAAAAAAAAGTCTGTGGCATCATTAACAGAATCAAAAATGGAAAAGGTATTGTCAATGCACCGCATATAAACACAAGGCTTTCAAACAAAAGTCCCTCATGAAAACCTATGAAAATATTAGCTAGTATGGGATCTAAAGGACTACCCATTGAAACCTTCTCTGAGCATACATAATATTGTTGAAACGGAACTCGACCCCTTCAGTTGCCAGACGCATGCATTCCAAAAACAAGTTTTCAGGAATGTAAGCGGACACAAAGTACCTCTATAAAGAACATCAGAACCTATATTAATGGTGTCCTGAAGAGTCACATAAAGAGTATATAAAGTGACGATGTCAAAAGACACCATCAGTTTATTTTCTGAACAAATTTTCAAATTTCATTAGAAATTTGAAAACTTGAATGAGTCGGAAATATTATGGGTTGAAAAGAGATCAGATTTGTAAAATTTTATTAAAATCAATTAAAGGTCAGAGAAATTGTGTATCAACTTTTTGTGGCCTCTTGAAAACTTGTCTTCATACATTTCTTGCATTAAAATTTCTCTTTTTTTGCTTTACTAGACTGGTGAAAATGCTGCTGAAGACTCTTTAAGTATAGAGAACACCCTCTGGGCTAACACTGTAGTGGCATCAGGTACTGCATTGGGTCTGGTCATCTATACTGGCATGGACACACGTAGTGTCATGAACACATCACAACCTAAAAGCAAAGTAAGCATTGCTAACCCCTCCAACGTTTCTTTTTTTTTTTTTTTTCTTGTTTTCTTGCTCATTGATCATGTGACATACAAGTCAATGAACTTATTTCATATCTACTTTAGTTGTAGAAGATAAAATTTTTAAATTTAACTTTTGATAATTATATTAAAACTGGTGTTTCTAGTATTTAGTGCACAGTTGTTTTAATGGTTCTTTTCATTGTTACCTATTCATGGTTTCCTCTGTTTTAATGCCACTGGCTAGGCAGATTTTTTCCTCTAACTTAGTAAGATTGAAGTAAAAGACAATCACTTGACTTTGCTAAGAACTTGTTCTAATGTATTGAATGATGTTTTACTTTTTGTATCTGTTGCTTATATAATTTGACTTTTTTCTTTTTCAGACTGGATTATTGGACATTGAGATCAATAATCTGACTAAGGTGTTGTTCTTTGCTGTGGTTGTTTTATCTCTTGTAATGATCATTTTAAAGGTAAACTAATTCTTCCCCACTTATATTTTCTTATAGTCTTCAGCATTGTCTTTAACATTGTACTCTATATTTGAGATTTAATTGTCTCTTATACTTTAGAATTGCATGTTGCTTTCCTACAGTGTCAGATTTTATCACATTGCTTTTTGAACATTAAACAAAAATAGGTAGTGGCTCAGAATGAGAAATTGGAGAACCAAGTTAGAATTCCAGTTGGGTTTGTTATATTCACTTATGTGCAAATACTCTTGGGGAAAGGGGTATAAATTCATCATCTTTCATTTGCTATATGTTAAATAGTAGGACTTGTATCTGGGAAAATCATTAATTTTTCTCAAAGAATTAAGGCAAGTTGCAAAAAAAATTAGATAAAAGAATTATTCTTACCATTCAAAATGTTTTGTCTTTAAATAACCCACAAAGGGTTGACAAGCTGTAAAAAAACAAAACAAAAAAAAACAAAAACAAATCAATCAATGATCGAAAAGGTTAGAGAAAGATTTCATGTTAATTATGACAAAAGCAACATTTTGTGTAAAATAAGAACAGTTTTTTGTAAAAAAAAAAAAAAACACAGAAGAAAACACATGAACGCTTATAATAGATTAGCCTATTTTGTGTAACAAGTTTTATTAATGAGAAAAAGAGAAGGAAATAGTTTTTAGTTCTTTTCATTGGAATTGGTTCAAAATAATGGATTAAATGAGTTTACTATAAATATGAAGATAATAATCACTTAAATCATCATTGTTGCAAATATTGTTATATACAAAAGTATATGAATAATATAACAATTATTCTCATTAGTTTTTTAAAGTCTTAACTTACATTGGTTGTGATGTAGTTTTTATCTATAATTGTTCATATAATTGTTTCTATAAAGTATCCTCAATAAGCTTAATTAAGTAGATAAATAACATAATGGTGTTTGATTTAAATTATCCTACAAATCAACCATGTGGTAATGTATTGTAGGCAAAGCAACATAGAATTAAGATTTTCCTTCAAGATGTGAAATCTTGTTACTAGTGAAATATACTAGTAGGTATTGAAAGACTGGGCTTTTTTTTTTTTTTTTTTAAAGACAATTATTTTGTTTACAAATGTTCAATTATGAGCTTTAGGTAACTTTGTCATTTGGAAACTCAGTCAAATCTTGCAGTGTGTGGCTTGCAAGGTCAATAGTTGTCATTTGTATAATTGAGAGTTAGTATTTATAAAACAAAATTAAAATATCAACCAAGAAGTTTTTCTTGAGTTGGTTTTTGAATGATTCATCTTTAAAATGTTTAGATCAATATTGTGGAATTTGAAAATTGAATTGGAGTAATTTTTTACAAATTTATTTTTATTTTAGGGATTTGGTGGTCCCTGGTACAGATATTTCTTCCGGTACATCTTATTGTTTTCTTATATTATTCCTATCAGGTGAGCAACTTCTCTGATGTCTTTCTCTCATGGGTACAGACAGAATAAAAATTTGCTTTTGTAATTTAGATATAATGTTGATTATAAAGTAACAAGATTTTTTTATTAGTTTTCTACCTTCCTATCTAGATATGTTATTTGTATTTTTGGTTGCATTCTAATATATGTAAGTTTGCTTCAGTGTGTGCATCATTTGTATGAGAGTGAATTCTATTTGCTATCCATCCTAAAGGATGATGACTGTGTCTTTCAAGGAACAGTATATGTATGAATGAATTTTCTAAGTAAGTAAGGGGTAACACAAGTCCAGGATCCAATGATAAGTTAGTGTCCAGGACAGTTTCTGGAGGATCAGTTGCTCTAAATGGCCACACTAAGCTTTGATGCAAATAATATCCTCTCACAATCCATGCCCAAGTATGTCAAACTGTTTGAATTTAGGGTTTTCTGTTTCCTTGACTGGCTGCCGCCCAAGATTAGAGCCCAGTCTGCTATACTATTTAACTCCTGACTGGGGGCAAGAAGCGATGACAAGAAGGCATTAATGCGAAATGAATGTAACTGTCTCAGTTGGAATTTGAAATCAGCTTGCTGATTCTGTACTGATATCATAATTGCTATCAGTACATCTGGGAAGGTGAATTCCCATTTGCAAGAACAGTCTTTTTTTGCCAGAATAGTTAGTCAGTTAGAGAGAAAACAGAATTTGGAATTATTGAGTCATTTTTTGGATTCAGACATTTTGTTCTGCAATTGAACTGAAGTGATGTCTACAATTAATGACTTTACTTTCACTTACTGCATACTTTCCAGTGTCTAACTATGTTTCATTTTGATATGTAAATATTTTCACAATAAAATTGCTCTTATCCAATTGATAACATTTTCAGGATATATTTATCTGAGCAGCATAATGTGAGTTTGAACTTGTCAAATTTATCCTCATTAAGAATATTCATAACTTGTTTTCAGAGTTTCTGGTTTTATTATGCAAACAAAGTGCAGCATAAATTTGTATTTATGAAAAGATCTTGGGCAAAAAACATTTTAGTAACACTGTCCTATCGATGAATAAATTATTATTTTACAAGTTAATTATGGACTCCTTGACCTTCTATAATCTTAATTGGTCTTTTATTTGTTGATTTTATTAACTTTTCTACTCTTCTGACTTTTAGCATTACTTGCAGCAGTTTTTTTTATTGCTTCCCAGATATCATTTTGCTTGAATATTGTTTTCCATTCTCATATACATCTTTTTTAAGGATGGACTGCAAGTTTTTCTATTGGATTAATATCTGGAGAGGCTGGGGGCCATTCCATTAATTTGGTATTGTTGAAAATTTTTTGTCATGGTGGGCAATAGTCAGCTTTGCAGAATGTGAAGGTGGATTGTCTTGCATGAATATATTCTTTAGCTTAAAGCTTATTGGCTTTGTGACCTGTACCAATCAAAAAACGTTTTGTTCAAGAACTTGCAACAATTATCTGTGTTTATCTTAAAATATGAAGGGAATACAATTCTAGCTGAAAGCATTATTCCAAATCCCACCTGTTGTCTTAGTTGACTTAAGAAGAACCCAATAAGATCTGCCCAATATAAATCTACATTCATTACTAAAAATTACTGTTGAGAAATAAGTTTTCATATACTTCTTCACTCAACTTATATATTTATCTTTGTGGTGGTTACTTAAAGGTGGTAGTTTAGTTGCTTTCATGTCTTCAGCCAATGTTAATATTCTGCTTTTTTTCTGTTTACATTCATAACATCAGCACTTTAAAAGTTTTCTTGTTAGTCAATTCACTTTTCTTGCTTATTACCTTTTTTTAATTTTCTCAAATATCTTTGTGACATTCTTAAAGTCAGTTGTTTTTTTTTTGTTATGTTAATGTTTTATATTTTGTTTTTTGATCTTTCACAATTCCCAACATTGTATTCCCATCACTTAAAAGAGAAACAAGTTATTGCAAGTTATCTGTTATGACCCTTAGCAATCTTTGATATTAGTAACTATTATATATCCTACAGTTGCATATTAAAATCTCACAATATCAAACAAGTTATTTTAAATATTAAAAATTAAATAACAAACATAAGTTGGAATTTATTTTATATAACCAACATAGGCTGGTTAATACCAATTTAACTGTAAAATCTTTGAATTGCATAATAAAATCTGACATTGTGTATGTATATCTATAAACAAACACACATACACTCACTTTCATAATCATCTGGGTATTGAATGTCTCAAAACTGAGCATTCTTGTACAATTGTTTGGCTTTGAGGAAGGTGTTGTAACTCTTAAGAATTTCTATAATAGTGCAATTTTATTTCCTTCACTGATTCTTTTAGTTAACCAAAAAATATGAAGATCATGGCCACAAAATTTGACTAAAAGTAAACTTTGGTTTAAAATGACAAACAGCTTAAAAGGTTTAAATATTAATTAGAGAAACTTGGGAGGTGATAATATTTGTGTGTTCTCATTGGAACTGGTTCAAAATAATAGATAAGGATTTTAGATAAATACAAAGACAATGCTCACTTAAATTATCATTATTCAAATTATTACTTATACATAATAATATAAATCTTCTTGGCTGACCAAGATAGCAAAAAAGACAAAACTTGCTAAGAGCCATAAAGGACAAGAAGTTGTGGAGTGCTGTTATCTTCCATGCCCTGAAGGAACATGGCACATAAAAGTAGGTTTGACCATTATTCTGATGAGGTTTGTAATTGCAGAATAGATTTGTACATCAACTTATGTGTAATTTTATTTTTCAAGTGAGTCAGTTGTTGCACAGGTAGATTCTTGGCAGTAAATGTCTTTCTCTGCTTTTTTTTTTTTTCTTCTCTTCCTCACTGGTACAATGTTATAAGTAGCACCCTTTCTGACTATACAAGTTGCTAGAAATGACATTTTTTTCTCACTAATGTGACACTTCTGATTTGGCATCCATTGTCCCTAGAGATAGCATAAATAATTATTTTGGTAAATTTTCTCTGTAAACTTTTCAATTGCAATGGTTATGATTTTAGTTTTTATTGCATATGAAATGGTATAAAAATATTTATATGAAACTATATTCAAAAGAAAAGTTAATAACAAAAAATAGACTTTAGGAATTTTTTTTTTTAAACATTGGTTGGGTCATTTTTGCTGTGCTTATTAACCATAAATATTTTTGAGATATTTTTATTGTGCTGTTAATTTTCAACAGTTGATAATCTTTAAGTCTTGAATTTAAATCTTTAATTCTCCTTTTGCAAATGTTTTATTTATTAAGAACCACATTTAGGAAATGGTAAGAGAGAAAGATGCTAATGTGTAAAGAATGACGTTGTTAGTCTTGAACAACTTTGAGTTCATCTAAAATTTGACTAAGCTTCTGACATTATTAAGTTAGAATTATAAAACTACTCTAATTAAAACATTTCCTTTGTCATTTTCAGTTTGCGGGTAAACCTGGACATGGGGAAAGCTGCATATTCATGGATGATCCAGAAAGATAAGAATATCCAGGGGACTGTCGTGCGGAGTACTACTATTGCTGAAGAATTAGGACGAATTAGTTACCTTTTATCAGACAAAACTGGAACACTCACACAAAATGAAATGGTTGGTAGTCACTCTTCAAATATCTCCTTTTGCAGGTTTGATTTCAGTTGTATTATTGGTGAAGATTAACTTTGAAAAAAAAAACCAAACTCTGCTGTAACTTAATTTTTGTTACATTGAAGATTATATAATTAGAAAGCTGAAATATTAGATAAAAGTATAAAGTGCCATAAATAAACTACTTTATCAACTCTATAGAAATGAGACTTTGAGGAGAAAAAGGGTTAATAAATATAAATTATAAAATCTTCTCTAATATTTTCATGATTATTTTTTCTGACCTGAAGTGTTTATATGAAAATAAGATATGGAATTATGGTTAAGTTAATAAAATAAAATGATCATAGACATATCCAAAATACATCTGACCACAATAATTGCTGTAAATTAACTAAAGTGTTTTCTATATGACCACAGTAGTGCCTCTTAGAATGCAATGTTTATTGCAAATTAATTGTTAGTATCATGAGTTTGATCATTTCTTGGTAGCACACCAAGAAAAATTGTCTATGTATGTATATTTGTACAATGACTGAGCACACCTCTTTTTATAAAGAAAAATTGGTGGAGAACAGTAAACACCAAACTTCAATAAAATCCACACCCTGTTTTTGTCTGAGAGAATTTTAAAAAATTAATTTAAAAATGATTAAAAAAATGAAACAAATTAATAAAGGATAAAGCATAATAATAGCCAAATAAAACATAAACATGAATAATGATAATAAAAACAAACTAAAATCATATGATCAGTTACTGAAAATCAGTTCTGAATTATAAATTACAAAACCCAATAAAACTAAGACATTGAATTAGAAAAGCTTTTAATTACATTTATAAAAAGGATAATTTTGTCTGAAGCAAAAAAAAATTCTGATGAAAAATGAATTATTACAAGAATTGTTTTTTATTTTTTACAATTTTATTTACAATAATATATAAAGTTGTTAAATCTTTTAAAATTCAGTTTCAATGTGCTGTTATTAAGTAAAACTATTTTTACTAATCATAAATCTAAAAGCTTATTATAATCTGCAAACAACCAGTATTTAAAATAAGAATTTTATAAGGTTTCTGGATGCATGTAAACATGCCTTTTATTTATATATATATATATATATATATATAGTTATGTTTATACATGACATTGTCATTAAAAAGTCATATTTTAAAAGTTGTTTAACATTTCCTGAGATATAAAAATTAATAAATAAAATACCATAAAATTTCATAAAAGATGTTTGTAAAAATTATAGGTACTTCTCTTATTTATTAAATTTTATGTTATATTAGTTTTTTATTATCTTAGTTATGAAATTTTAAATTTATTTTATTGTTATATAGTATTTTAAATTTTATTATTTTTCCAGAAAGCATCTTCAAATGTAAGGCTATATATCTAAAGTATGTAATAATTAATAAAATATTAGATTGCTTAAAATATTTGTTAATACATAAAAATTACTGGGTACTCAAATAAGTTCACTTCAAATTCGTAAAATTTTTCACTTCTGTTCATCCATCTGATGACTTCTGACTTCAGCTGTCAATACCATTCATCAACATCTGACAAACAACTCACTGTAGTTAAGAAATGCGTTTCTTATTTTCTAGTATGTTTTTTCTGCTAAAAAAGTAAGTACCGTTTGTTGAGATAATTGAGTTATCTCCCCTTGACCAATTTGCCTGGTTGGAGAAGAGAAGGATTGAGAGTAGTGGCGCTAGTACTAGTAGATAATCTACATAGCAGCAGTAATAGCCAATCAGGATCCACCTTGGGATAAGCTGGTGGCAGAAGATGGCTATGTAAGCTCAGTTTAGAAGACCTTGTAGCTGGCAACCTGGATAGAGGAATCTATGCTAGAGAAAATTGACACGGTTTGTTTCAAATTAGATTAAGTAAACTTTAAATTTTCTAATTTTACTCAAATGGCCTTTGAAAAATGTATATTTTATTTTTACAAGATTTTTAAATTGGAGAATTTAACTTCATTTTACAAATGTTTCAAAATGGCAGACATCATCGATTTTACTGAAAACAAAAAAAAGTTTATTCCAAACAATATAAATTTGGTTTTAAATAGACTAAAGAATTTTGCTTACTGGATATAGTAAATTTATTCCTTTACTTTGAATTAAAGCTAAAAAGAAAGCTTCAAGAACAATTTTTCAATTAATCTTAAACTATAGGTATACCATTTTTTGGCAAATTAGTGGAGATCCCTATAAGTGTATAATGTATTCTTGAATAAGGAACTTAAAAAGGCCATTTATTCATAAAACTGGATAATGAATAAGTTTTGCTGTCTATTAACAAAGCACAAGGTCAGACTTTATCAGTTACTGAACTACAGTTAGAAGACTCCTGTTTCTCTCATGGACAGTTGTATGTTGGTTGTTTATGTGAGAAGTAAAACCAGTTTCTTTGTAGACAATATTCTTAGTCTTTCCTTGTGGACCATAAACAAAGAAGTATTGTGAAAACTGTTTTAAGATATTTTTTGTTTGAATAAAATAATTTATACTGTTGTTATAGATTTATTTTTAACTTTTTAAATCCCAGGCAATGTCAGGTGGCTCTACTAGTTCTAATATAAATTCTTAATCTTAATATGAAAAGAGTTTACATACCTTTACTATTAACCTCATATCTAAACAGATCTAATGAAAAGTAATCCTATGTAAAGTGTGGCAGAATTGATTGATCTATTTGACAATGTCAATATTACTACTGGTTACATTGATTATTATTGCTTTATATTATATGAATGTATCAAACTTTCATCATAGAAACAAAATAATTTTCTTCCTTTCATGTATTCCATTGTTGAAAATTCATAATTTAGATAAAATCAAAGGGATCCATAACTCAGGCTTGGCAACCTTGCAACTGGGAACCACAACTGAGGATGGACTGGATGGTATGGATCATTCACCTCCATCCATAAAATACGATTATCTAAACAAAATTAACCAGTTTAATATTTTTACAGTATATTTTTTTAAAATTTACTGTAAAAATATTAAACTGGTTAATTTTGTTTTACATTTTTAACAACAATGCTAGTAAAATTCAACATACATCTTTTTAAATACCCATAAATAATTATTTTTTAAAATTTTTAAGCCAGTATAGTTATTATTATGAAAAATATCATAGACGAAATATTAAATTAAATTTTTATTCATTTTTTTCAAATGGGCAAATTTCTGTATAGTAAAATAGGAAAATTAGCAGTGCAAAAAGTTACATTCATTTTTTTTGTTTTCTTACAAGACTGTATAAACATACTTCATGTGTTATAAAGAAAGCACAAATTATTCATTAAAAATTGAATTTTATAATCAAAATATTTGTTATGAAGAATAAAAAAAAATGTCTTAAGAATTTTGACACAGCATAAAGAAAAAATTTTAATTAATTTTCTATTAATTACACTGTTTTCAATATCATCTTTGTTTTATACTTTTTTGTGATTATTGTAAAGAGAATGTCGTCTCTTTTACATTTTTGTGATGTTTTTAAGAATAGTTGTAAAATATTTATTATTGAATTTAAATTTTGACATTAACTTTGTGATAAATTCTTTAATAAGTGTCATTTTTCATTAATTTTGCAGTGAAAAACATACATTTTTATTTTTTAATGTCTATTTACAAGGGACAGAAAATTCAGCATACTTAAAAAAAAAAATACCTGTTAAAGAAAAAAAAATAATTATTCATAAAAAATTAAATTTAGATTTAATATGGTCATTGTTGAAGAAAAATAGAGAAAAATATTAAATTTAAATTAACTTTGTGATAAATTGTTAATGACACTTGTGAATTTCGTATTGAAAAAGTTTGTCTAAAGATAAAATATGCAAAGTTCAAATAAAATAAATAAACATACTTACTTCAGTATCTTAAATAATACAATTATGTTAATCCAAAAGTAAAACATAAAAATTTCTCTAAAAAAAAAAATTAATTTCTTAATCCAATTCCAGCAAAGAACTTTTGCATGTTAATCATTTGCCCTCTTGTCACGTACTGGCCTTAACATGATGTAGACACCTGAGTTATGGATCACTTTGGATAAAATAAATCTTTACAATATTGTGCCAAGTTTTTAATTTTGTTTTAATTTTACTAATCATGAAAAATTAATTCCTTTTTAGTTTTTCAAAAGACTTCATCTTGGGACAGTATCATTTGCTGCTGATACTATGGATGAGGTAAGATATTCAATTGCATTTTAACTGTCAAGTATATTCTCCCACTTGAATCAAAGGCTTTTTTTTCATAGTTTTTTTTCTCTCTTATTTTATTTTTTACTGGTTTTCCCTACTAAATTAGTTTAAATCTTATTTTAAGTACTTCCTACCAATTTATTTTCTTGTGTGTGCAAATATAAATATATTTCTTAGCCTGAATAAATGACCAAACATTAGAATCCTAGACATTTCATTGTATATAAATAATCTATTGAGAACCATTTCCATGCTTGATCTAAACCTTGTTTTGTAATGTTTTGAAAGTTGATATTTTAAATAATCCCATACCCCAAAAATGATTTATATAAAAAAAAAAAATAATAAAAAAAGAAGCCTTTTTACATGTTGTTTTCAATTTCTAATAGGTAGCATCCCATTTGAAAACTGGTTATTTACAAGCATCCCAGACAAGTACCAGTCTGCGTCACACTGGCCCAGTGCGTCGCACTGTGATCACACGGTGTTATGAAGCAGTGCGTGCCATAGCTTTGTGTCACAATGTCACTCCAGTATATGAGAATGAAAATGGAATGGATAACAGTTCTGAAACCGAAGTAGACCAACAGTCACACCAAAAAGTTGTTTACCAGGCTTCGAGTCCTGATGAGGTAGAGTTCTGCTGTTTTACTTGTAATTTCTTAGGCATTTCAAATGACTTTGTGTTTCTTGTTCATCATAAATTTTTTTTTCTTTTATAAACATGTTTACTGTTTTGTATAAATTGCCATTAGGTTTTATTTACAGCAAAATAAACACATGTACATGTTTGGAAATTAATTTTCATGTCTCAATTTGGCAAACAGTTTACTTTGTTCCAAATTTTGCTCAGACAGTTGAAGTGCTTGTGTGTATTCTTGGTGGAGTTGATCCAGTCTTATACACAGACAAAGCTATTACTATTACCTATATACCTGGGTAATTTCAATTTATCTATCATTTTCATTTTTTTTTTCTTTCCTCTTATAGATTTTTCGTCCTGGGTATGACGATAAACTACGCCCGGCAGCAAGGCCTCTTATTGGGATGTTTTGAGGAGTGTGGGGGCTACCTCTTAATTGTTGTTGTTCCCAGGTTCAACCTGACCCCAGGGTGGTAGCATTTGTTAGGGTTCCAGCAATGGGCAAATAGGGAAACCCAGAACTTTGGTAAAAATATAAAAAATACATTAGAAAAAATTACCAGCAAGACATTTTTTTGTGAAAAAAAAATTATCGATGCTCGTATGAAAATAAAATTTTGGCATTAAATGACCCATAATAAGTTGATATACCATTAAAGAACCAAACCAAATCTTATGGATTTTTTAACCTGATGAAAGCTAAAGAATGAATTGGTTGAAACTTAGCAACATAAATACACAAAGGAAGATTTCAATTGTCCAAACAAAATTTGGAATATTTATGACTCTTAACTCTTATACTAGGCCTGACAAACCATGTATCTTGGGACAGACATGATAAATTACTATTAAATAACAATTACTGAGAACATTTTTAGCAAGGGGCCTGTTATTAATGTCCAGTTATTAGTTAATTAGCAACTATATATAATATTAGGAAGCATCTTACAATTATTGACTTGTTTCATAAATGTAGGTACTTCACTTAGTCAAGTAAAAAAAAAAACAAAAAAAAAAACAAAACAGCATAGCCTGATGAAAAAAGGCTCCAAACTCAATAAAAGCAAAGTTTTGTCATCAAAATGTTTGTTATTATTAAGAGGAAAGTTTTTTTTTTATCATTTTTGGAAATTTTTTATACTCCTTTGTAGCACATTGTAAATTTTGGTTAAAAGTCTTTTTTTTATTTTTTTTCATTTTTCCCAGTGAAAAACACATTGATTTGGAGATTTCAGGACATATTCAGAAATAGATAAAAATATTTTTGAAATTTTTCTTTTTAGAAAATCTTGGTAAAAAATTTTTTTTTTTTTTTTTTTTTTTTTTTTACAGATATTACCATGCACTTACATAATTTCAAAGAATTTTGAGAAATTAAATTTTTAAGGTGGGGATTTTTTATTAGTTAAAAACCGGACTCTTTGGAGAAAGCAAATCATAAATTTTTTTTTTTTTTTTGTGAAACAGTTACTTGTTTCATAGAAAATCTGCTCTGAATTGTAAAATAAAAAATGCAATAAAACTATGACATATTTTATTTAATTAGAAAAGCTTTTAATTGCTTTTGTAAATAGGTTATATTAGGGACACTATTGTCTAAAGAAATAAAATTTTTTTCAATGAATAATGAATTTTTACAAGAATTTTTTTCATTTTTTAAAAATTTTAATTATAATAATAGTTAAAAAAAATCTTAAAATTCTTCATTGTTTTCAAGAATGCAATTTGATGATATTATTAAGTGAAAAGTAAATTTATGAATCAAAATTTGAAAAGCTCGTAACAGTTGTTTGTACCTGAATATTTTAAAAATAATTTTTAGTGCAAAAAACCTTCCTAATTTCTACCTATGTAAATCTATACATGGCATAATCCTTAAAAAGGTCACGTAATTTAAGTGTCGTCTGACACGCTGCAATTATTTCACTTTTAATTCAGTTCTGTTTCATCATTAATGTCTTTGCAGATCATCCCTTCAAAATATCAAGAAAAAGTTTTACTTTTCTTAATTGCTATTTTATTAAATATTTTATGTATTTAGTTTGGGTCATACTTCAATTAATTATTTTGTTTAAGGTAGTAAACTTAAGAACCTAGAGATGAAACCTAAATTTCATAAAGCTTCTTGAAAACCTAATTAAAAGTCAATAAAATATTAAATAATTGCTGAAAATATGTTAATTTGTAAAAATTACTAGGTAGTTAAAAACTAAAAAAAAAAAAGGCATTCACTTAGTTTTTGTAAAAAAAACTGGTCATCCATAAGAGCTGTCAACACTTTGAGAGCTTCTTGATAAATCAATAAAGAGGAGACCCATCATTATTTCTAATTTTACTCAAATAACGTGTCACAAATTTATAAGTTCGAAAGAATTTTAAACTTGATAAATTTGTTTGTTTACAAATTTCTTAAAATTAAGAAGATGGCTGCTTCTAAGAGATTTTTTTAAAAATCAAGGAATTATTTGACATTCCAATCTATATAATTTCTATCTGAAATACACCAGAATATTTTACTTACTGGAAATAATAAATTTAATCATTTAGCTTTCAATTAAAACTAGAATGAAATCTTCAAGAATGCTTTTTCATTTTTAAAATTTAATTTTAAAACTTAGGTATTGAAAATTCAGTGGAGGTACCTACATAAATGCCAATGTACAAAGAAAGAACAAAAATACCATAAAATAACTAACATAAATTAGACGTTTTTAGCTAATATTGCAAAAATAATGAGCCATAGCCTGTATGTTCAATGGCTAAACTAATATCTCTTGTTAATGATTTCATTCTTTTTCCTTGATTTGCTCCCATTTTTTTTTGTCAATTTCCCAAAATTAGAAAGAAATAACAGATGTTCATCATCTAAATTTGATATCACTTTTTTCAGTGGATTTCTTAGTATCCCCATATATTTCTTTGACACTGACAATTTTCCAAAATTTTAACTTTTTTAATGAAATTAACTGTTCCTGCAGTATCCTCCCCATTTATGTGTTTTAATGACAACTACAGTTTGATCACAAAAAAACTTTTAAACAATGTGAAACATTTTGTCACTTAACAGGTTTTGGGTAATTTTCTACATCAGTTAGTTTCAACAGCTTAATGAATGGAGTTTTTTTATACTCAAAAAGATCTTTTACAATTTCTCATTTTGCCATCAGAACAAAATAATTCAGAAGTAGGTTCAGTAATCTAATTACTCCGAATATTTTTAAAAAGGTGGACATAATCAAAAAGTAAGTACAAGCCATTTTAGTTATCCAAGACTTTTTGAAAAAAGATTGATAAATCTTGTCACATACAATTGCATTTGACCATTTTATTGCATCAACAATATATAAAATTTTTTCATATTAAAAAAAAAAAAGTTGTCTCTAATTTTGCAACTGGGATCATTTTAAATAAAATTCTTTGTTTGTTCTCCATTCAAACATTTAACCACTGTTTTTGCTAATCCCTCAAAATTTTCCGCCAAACCAAATAAGTTTCCTTCATGATAGTGTAGAGAAACCTTGACATACACTTCATTAACTAAAAGAATACACTTTTTTCTGATTTTCAGAAATTTCACTAAAATATCACCAAGAAAATTAAAGTCATCTAATTTTGAAACTTTTGATGTCACAGCTGGTAATGTTCTTACATTGGGTAACTTAAAATCATCCTGAAGTCTGTTATATAATGACCGAGATGTAACAAAATATTCAAATGCACTGATAAAAATATCAGAATCATAATGTTTTGTCTCAATCCTTTCTTTTAAAAAATTTTTTCTTATCAATTTTTAAGTTACTAAGATAACAAATTGATAAGCAAAAAGAAATGGTTTCATTGATTTTTAACCAGTGCTGAAACATTGATATTTCTCTTCTTGAAAGAGAAAAAAAAAAATTTTTTTTTTTTTTTTTCTCTCAAAAAGTGAGGATTTTGTCTTTTTCTGGAAACTGTGCAAACTCATGATTTTGCACAGAAGCAGAAATTTTGTTTGTTGGTTTTGGTTGAGGACTAGGTAATGCACTTGTTGGCAAATGATCAAATATAGATGGTGGATTTCTGGGACGTACTTTTCTTGTAATAACTACTGTTAACCAGAGGGTAAATGCCTTTCACAAACAATAGTGGTTTGTTAGGGGTGTTGTATTATTCTCACTCATTCTGATCTTGAGGAAGACAAAATACACAAACCTTATTTTGTTAATCAGAGTTATCACGACAACCTATTACACAGTACTAATTTGACTATTTTAAGAAAGATTTTGCAGTTACTGAAATTAAAAATTATTAAATTAAACTATTATTTTGTAAAAATTACATTTTGCTTCTAAAAAGTGTATGAACTTTATATTCTAAAGTCTGGAGAGTTTAGGATTCAGAATTAAGAATTTTAAAGTTTGTATGAATGTAGGAATTTTTATCTTATGTTACTTTCTGTCGTCTTTAAGGAATTACGTTTTTTCACTGGTCAGGGTTCATATTACGTTAAAAGTACCTAGTGAATTGAACCTCCCTCATTAAAATTTTTGCATAATTGTATCTTATGTGGATTGATCACCACCATAAAATGCAATTATCTGAACAAAATAACCTGTTAATATTTTTACAGTATATTTTTCTGGTTAATTTTTTGGTTCTACATTTTTAACAAGTTAGTAAAATTTTTAACAAGCTAGTAAAATTCAACATACATTTTTTTTTTTTTTAAATACCTGTGTGTAAATAATTTTTTTTTTTTTTTTTTTTTTTTTTTAATTGATTTTTGTTATGAAGAATAATACCATAGAAAAAATATTAAATTTTTATTCAAATGTGCAAATTTCTGTATAGTAATTTTGGAAAATTAGTCATGCAAAAAGTTACATTCATGTTTTTGTTTTCTTACAAGGATGGTATTACATACTTTATGTATTATAAAGAAAACACAAATTATTCCTTAAAAATGAATTCTATAATCAAGATATTCATTATTACGAAGAATAATAGCAT